CAATTCATTGATTTCGTTCTGAAATGCAAATTAGAATTTATTGCATAACTGAGTTCAACTCTATAATATCTACTGATATCAACACAGATATCACATTGGCATTGTTCCTCAGTTCCCATGTTCAAAAAAAAAAATGAAAAAACATCAGACAGCAGAATCTCATAATCCTACATTTGATATAGTTTTTCTGAGAGTTCTCCCTTGTGTTTTGTTTTCTATTAAATTATAATTATACCAACAATACCCTAGAACCTATTGTATTCTGGCATATATCAAATACCTACCAACTGGAATTACTTACTAGAGTTGTGATTATTTATCTTTGATCTATAAGTGACTGGTTGTGACTCTCAGAATAATATCTCCCATAATATATTATTCACTAACAATGATTTAACCCAGAATGTAACCAAATCAGACAGAAACAATATCATACACCTATCATGTTTTCAATTTTTTAATTATAACAGGTATGGATGGGTAACCTCTGGGGTAACCCAGAAATTATCCCATGCTATCATCATTTCTTTCAACATTCCAAAGATTCATACCTCGATTCATACATACCTAGAGCATTTATGAGACTATATGAGGTACAAGTTGTGGTGGAATAAGAACCACTATTATTTCCTGAGACCATCAAACAGATTCTCGAACAGATTATATATGGGATACTATGAAAGGTAGGTACCCCATAATATAAGTTCTTGTTCTGAAGTATAATTCATGTATAACAAAACTATATTCATAGCTCTGAGTAAACATGATCTGCTGCAATTTAATAACCATTTGGAACATGACTGTTATAGGTTCATCAATAGGAGACTTACCTCTTGAGAAAGCTGGAGACCAACATCAAGTGGGCTAGTTGCACCTTCAACATTATTACCATTGCTGTCTGTTGTATTCTGTACATTGGGAACAGGCAATGTCTCTGAATTTGCCAATGGAGCAGTCCTTTCTATATTCAGTAAGTATGTGTGTACATCTGGATGGCGATAGTTGTCTAGATGAAATCTTCCCAAAGAATTCAGGTCAGCAAATATGTCTCTTTCATAATTCAGCAGAACTGAATCTAAGCTCTTAGGGTTCACATAGTGAGATCTAAGTACAGCAGGTGTTATACTTCTCCAACTGGTGCCATTGTCAAACACTAAGTTATTATACATGTCATTCTCATTAAAACAATCATGATTTACTCTCAAAATGCTCAGTAATAAGGCAAGCTGTAACAGCTCATCTCTGTAAACTTTCTTCAGGGACAGCATTGTTGTTTTCAGTTCTTATATTGCTCTGACTTCAGTACCTACTAGAACATAACCACGATACGAGCCTCGATATCAGTGAAAATCGAACACCAAGTTCATTTGTTTAGGAATGGACATCATACACAAAGGCAGAAGCATGAGAAACTTGATAACTTCAGTATTTTGTCACAATATTGTCTTTACTATTATATTATTAGTAAACAAGCAATAATCAGCTGATAAATACACTGGTTGACAGTTCACACCGGCAGAAGTTCCGGACGATTTTGAGGTTAAGTCGAAAGGACATAACGTCATTCTGAATGATGTTGCCTCATAGTTTCGACGTTTCGATTGAAATAATAATGTCAAAAGTTATAATAGTTCATGAAATTTCATCACATCACTTTGAAAAACAAGAACCACTAGACACAACCGTACTTCAAAATCTCCAAGTCATCGAAGCGAATTCAACGAACCTACCTTGCACGTTTGCCTTGTACCTAACATCAAAATGCGCAATGAAAGAAAATTCATAAAAAGTGGGGAATCGCGTGTTTTCAAGTTATCTGATGCGCTTTGTTTTTGTTTGGCTTGTTCTAATTTTAATGTTCACAATGGAAATTGTACATATGGATATTGTCATCGTTAAAAAAATAATTTATTCTAATCAATATAACGTTAAAATTATATCAATATAATTACATGTACCTAGATTTTTTACTCACCCTTATTATATTTTGTATGATAAAATTATAATATTATGTGAGTATACCTAGATATTATAGAATTATAGATAATAAAGTTGCTGGGAAATATGGTTGACTCCATGACTCCCCTTACAAATTTAATTACAAAGAATTAGGTATACCTAATAGTTATATAGTACTTCTCAAAATCATATAATATGCCTAAATATTCCAAGTATCTATAGATCCCTCCTCCCTCCTCCCTCCTCCCTCCTCCCTCCTCCCTCCTCCCTCCTCCCTCCTCCCTCCTCCCTCCTCCCTCCTCCCTCCTCCCTCCTCCCTCCTCCCTCCTCCCTCCTCCCTCCTCCCTCCTCCCTCCTCCCTCCTCCCTCCTCCCTCCTCCCTCCTCCCTCCTCCCTCCTCCCTCCTCCCTCCTCCCTCCTCCCTCCTCCCTCCTCCCTCCTCCCTCCTCCCTCCTCCCTCCTCCCTCCTCCCTCCTCCCTCCTCCCTCCTCCCTCCTCCCTCCTCCCTCCTCCCTCCTCCCTCCTCCCTCCTCCCTCCTCCCTCCTCCCTCCTCCCTCCTCCCTCCTCCCTCCTCCCTCCTCCCTCCTCCCTCCTCCCTCCTCCCTCCTCCCTCCTCCCTCCTCCCTCCTCCCTCCTCCCTCCTCCCTCCTCCCTCCTCCCTCCTCCCTCCTCCCTCCTCCCTCCTCCCTCCTCCCTCCTCCCTCCTCCCTCCTCCCTCCTCCCTCCTCCCTCCTCCCTCCTCCCTCCTCCCTCCTCCCTCCTCCCTCCCTGGTCGTCCCCGAAAAACTTCTCCAAGAGATGATCGCTTATTCTTGAGATTGCGGATTTAACGGAATCGATCAAATACTGCGGTAAATGTTCAGAAAGATCTTCGCCAAATTCGTGATGTTGCAGTAAGTAAGCAGACGGTATGTAGATGTCTGAAAGAAGTTAATTTAAAAGCTAGGAGACCTGCGAAAGGTCCCAAATTATTGGCCGAACATCGTGCTGCTAGAAGAAATTCTGTTGAAAATTATGGACAGTGGAATATTCCTGAATGGTCGAATGTCTTGTTTACGGATGAATCAAGGTTTTGCCTTAACATGGCGGGTGGAAGAAAAATAGTGTGGAGAAGAACTGGTGAACGGTTTAATCAAAATTCAATAACAGAATGCGAAAGTTTTAATGGTGGGTCCGTTATGGTGTGGGGAGGGATTTCAATGAATGGAAAGACACCCCTTCATGTTTTTCCGGTGAGGCAGTCGATGAATGCCCAAATTTACATTGACATTTTAGAGCAGTATGTCTTACCTTATGCAGAGTTAGTGGGCAATAATTTTATATTGATGCAGGATAATGTCCGACCACACACCGCAGCAATAGTGCGAAACTTCTCAGAAGCTACTGGTATTACCACATTACAATGGCCTGCGAGAAGCCCCGATATGAATGCTATAGAACATTTGTGGGATGAATTAGGGAGAAGAGTACATTCTCGCGACGGAAAGTCTCGCAGAAATAATGGCAGATGTATTAGCAATGACTGTATTAGTGGAAGAATGGGATCGTATACCAATGGAAACGATAAGCAACTTAATTTCCAGTATAAAAAAACAAAATGCTCGCAAAAGAAGCCTCTAGCACTTTGTATACCATTACTCAATTAAAACACAGGGTGAGTCAAAAATTAAGAATAAATCATGGTTCGAGGACTTTGAAAAAATTTTCACCTCTTTATTTTTTTTTCAAAGACAAATAATTATGCATTACCTACCAACTACCAACGAATAAAAAAAATAAAAATCGGCTTCGTTTTTTTTTAGAAGATAGGTCAAATATCAAGTGCCTCACTTTTTTTGGAACTGAGTGTAGTTTTCGTGGTGGGGAAACACTACAGCACGAGTAATAAATTTTCTATATCGGGTGGTGGGGGAGTGTTGCATCGCGTTAGTAGCGACTAGACTGACTTTATTAATAGAGTGACGACAATGGTTGAACATTTTTTGATTGGTCAGACCTCCAATATGGAGGTGCATCCACCTGTCTTGTTTTCTACATCCAATTCTTCGCATTCTATTTCACTTTGCCAATGCTTTATCTTTGTTTTTTGCTCTTCGGGCACAGATCATCTAAAAATCAGACATGAAAGTATACGTCAGTCCCTTGGATATCAACTATCAAAATCCGTCTTTTGGGACTCGTAAGTCGCAGATTATTTAGATGATGAAATAAAAATATCATATATCTATCAGGTCGGCACTTCGAGGGTACAAATTCATTAATGCATGGGAGATACCCTTCAGATTTTTAGCTATTCACTTGACATTCCGGATATGGCAGCCATTTGGATGTTTGGATGTCGATTGTCGTCCATTACATTGGGTTCATTGTTGTCATTTTATGAAGTCAAGCATTTCCTTTCCCGTTGCTTACTTGGCCATTGTAATTTTTGCCAACTTATGGACAAAACATCGAGTCTAAAATATAATATATCGAAGGTAAATATCCTTTCTGCATTAAAAAATAGATGAGACTTCTTTTTTAGGCAATCTAAGCTATCTTGGTGTAAATGAACCTTTTTCTTGAGGAAGGAAAATGCCGTTCCTACATAAAAAATGAGACTACTTTTTCCAGTGTATTTTTCGAAAAATAACTTTAGAACAATATTGAAAAAAAGTGGACCCTTGCATGGGATCGAACCCGAGTCGCCAGCCTGCCGCACGGATTCACAACACAAGCAGTTGGCCGCCCAATAGCTGTTCCCCCACCACGCGCTTTATTTCTTGCGTTCTCTCTGCAGGCGCTAGTAAAAATAGTAGGTTCTCCTCTTAATTATTCCATTCAGGCATTCATTTCATTCCCCAGAGAGGATCAGAATTCCAGTTACCAGAGTAGTTCCAGTCTTGTTCCAGTATTCTCGCCAACAACTGTTTCGTCCTTATCCCTTGAACAGGATGATCTATCCACCTTGCCCTTGAAAGATGGTGGAAGATGTCGAAGTGTCGACGCATGTCGAATTGTCGAATTGTCAATTGTCAAAGCCTGATAAGCCGATAACGATGGATAACGATAACCGATAAGCCTGATAAGATGAGACATGACATGATGGACATGAGACCTAGTGGAAGTCGAAGTGCTTTTCTAAATATTGGTTTTTATGTGAAATAATCTTGAGTTCACACAATGAAAATTTCCCTTACGAAATGGATCTATCTGAAATTATTTACAAATTCGTTCTTTTGGGCATGTTTTCATTTTGTGCCTATTCGGATTTCAATATAAAGGAAATAGCAATCAACATTAGTGAAGAAATAATAGAAATGAAAAATAATGAGTTAGGAGTTCCTTTTATTGAGGTAACTAAAAAAGTAAAAATGATAATATATTTCTGTTTATCCCAATTGGGTAGGAATTTGAATAAATTATTAGTGGTATTGTTATATATGAGAGCATATCTTGTAGTGATATTGTGGTAAATGAATAAAAACCAACAGTTTTACCTGTGGTTTTACCAAATGTTTAATTAGGCCAGGTTCTATCATTATCATAATTAAGTATGCTATTCATAATATTTGAACCACTAGGAGTTTTGAATATTGCTTACAACCAAATTTGTTTCAGAATCTTTATAAGAATTTTAATTTCTTTCCATGGAACTCCAGCGTGGCTAATAGAGTTGGTGATATATCTCATAAATTTGAATCCAAGATTGCAAATATATTTGCTGTCATTGAAACTGGTAAAATCTTCATCAATTCCCAGTTAGATAGGAGAAATATATCTAGCATTTCAGCACTAACACCTTGCATTGAGAAGATGTTTAAAATACCCAAAAATGCTAGCTCAGATGAGTGTCTGAGTATTTTTCATTTGTTAGAGTACTCTGAAGGTGAGTATATTTTGATTGAATATTACTTTTAGTAGGTAATTAAAAGTTTTCCTGGAAGTTTCAGAGAAAATTAAGAAAATCATGGGTTCAGTATCTCCTACTGTGAAAAGGGTTTATTTGATTTCCAATGCAGAAATTGAACAATCACAAAGAACTCCCTTTCACCATTGCATTGGTTGTGATGAGAGACTCGTTTGGGATCAGTTCATGAGAAGAAATAATTATGAACATAAGAATGTAGTTCTCATCTTGGATGTAGGAGGATCTATAAGTCAACATCAATTCCAAATTATGAAATCTATTGGTGAGCATATTACTCAGCATATTATCCAGAATATTATTATACCTCATTTGGTCAGCAGCTGCTTTTGTTTCAATATTCATTATCCTATTTGGGAGATGAACTGAATCTCTATTCAATCAGGAACTCCAAATCCTCATTCAATAATAAACATTGAAAATATGTTCACAGAAAAATATTTATCATAAGGGCATTTATTTTTTCAGGCAAAAAAATGCTTTCAGTATTGAACAGTAATGATCTTATTGCATTTTTCACAATAAGTTCAAATTATTCTTTCTTGGAAAGTGATTGTGCTAGATATAATGATCTAGAAGTAGTGAACAGCACACCAGGATTGAAATATGCTAATTCATCATATGTGCTGCAGTTGAGTAATTATATTGATGCCATTGAAAATGAAGTTGGTGAGTATGTTTTTAATCAAATTTGCTTTTTCTGAGCTATCTGAATATTTATAAGTAAGAGAGAGTTGTAAGGAATAGTCAATATGATGAGTACAATTCATTATTGGATTTTCATATTTTTATTTTGACAGAAAATCCTTAGGAAAATCCAATTGATTTAATAGTCAGTCCTCAACAACCCCTGTTTATAATAAACAACTTCAAATGGATTTCAGGCTTAACAGATCATGTGCTAGGTTTTGAGACTGGATTAAAAATCATTGAAAACCACATGGAGCTTATAAAAAATGAAACTGTCATGATGTTATATGTGAGTAGAGGATTATTATCATCTCTTTTGGAACCAAAACAAGTGATGGAAATGATGAGAACTTTCACTGATAAAAATAATGTTTCATTGGTTATCAACACATGTGCTATTTATGAAGGTGAGAAATAATTATGGAGATATAACTGATTTACAAAAAGAATCTGAAAATATACCAATTGTCCTATTTTGTTATTTTTGTTACAGATTCTAAACCAGTCATGTATGAACCTCAGTTCTTGAATGATATTGCAACTCAAAATTACACAAAATACAACATATCTTATAAATCTAATGTCCATCACAGAAAAGGTCTTATGCTCAAAGTGAACAGTGAAGAAAGTATACCTTTTGTTGTTGAACGATTTTACAGTGTTTTCAATCCCTCTTTTTTGTTCCATACTGGCAACAATATATCTTTGCCAAATTTGTATGATGATAGTAAGGGTAAGTAAAATGTCAAATAATCAACAGAACAACCATCGAACATATAGAGCCTTCTGATTCAAATATGGAACATGAAGGATCAGACAGTATTGGAAAAAAATCTATCATTATCAATTATTTACCTATACTTTATATAAGAGGTGTACCCTTGTACCTATTTCATTCAAATTAAACTGTCTTTTTTATTGAAAGATACTGAACTACTGAATGTACCATATGAAAGATGAACAGGAATTTGTAAATGTGAAAAAAGTATTAGTTTCATGAAATTTCAAAAAAGCTATAAAACAAAGAAAACATTAAAGCTGTTAAATTTCTGGAGTAGAGAATGATAATGAGAATTTGGTGAAGCAGACCTTCTTAATAATATAATAATATACCTATTTAAACTTTGATGTTTTAGAATTGACTATGTCCTTTACAAATGGGTGGACATTCAATAACAACTTTTTGATGCTTGGTGCTGATATGGATTTCTCCAGCTTATTGGAGGATTTTATTTACTACAGTGGCAATCAAGATCATTCTTACATATTTCTCATGGATTTTGATGGAAAAATCATTTTCCACCCATATTACTTCAGATCCTCTGAGGAATCTCATCCCTCAGTTTTTGTTGATTTAGAGGAAGTTGAGAAAGTAATAGATCCAAATACCCTGAAAAGTAAACTTCTGAACGAGAATAAAGGGGTTTATACAACTTATAAAATCAATTCTTCTGATCTGGTGAGTGAAATAATTTGAACCTTGCCTTTAAGTGATACTTATCATTTGTAATGATTATTCACAGGTTCACCACATAAATAAACAACGTCAATGCATTCACAAGGGTGCTAGTTGAATTCCCTGACCAAAAAAAATTCAGTTTTTCGATAATCCCTAGCCAAAATACTATTGGAGGAATACAGTTATGCTGAATATTCCGACAAACCTTCTAACCTATTTAAAATTTTGGAATCAGGACAAAAAAGTGATATGAACATCATTGTTGAAATATCTAACAGAAAACAACTACTACAGAATATTGAATTATATCTGTCAAATATTTGAAATACCTTATTTAGAAAATAATATATATAATTCTGAGAAGATATATTCTGGATAACATTTATTGAAAAATAGGCAACTATCATAATCAATTATAAATTGGGATTGAATTGATGTTTAACTCATCAGGAAAATCAGACAGTCAATCAGAGTCAAATATTTCCATTGAACATATAGAAGATGGCTATTTTCAATACATTTTATAGAGAATATATTTTCTCAGAATTATATAATACTATATTTGTCAATGCGATATATAATGGACTGTAATTTGTGTCTTTAAGCGGCAATACAGGATAGGCACTTATCACTCACCGTTTGATTCCTCGTTTCTTTTACTTCCAAATGGTGTAGCAGGACTGGCGGCGGTACCGCCTGATGAAGCTCCTTGCTTATCTTGTGGGTATAATGTTTATCACAGGTGAACACTATGATTGTATCACTCAATTCACTGTAATAGGGGGTGAAGTTATAAGTAAATTTTAATTGAATTATTTTCGAGATTATTCTGGAGCAGGTCACACTCGTTTTTTCCCGAGTACCGAGTTGATCGAGACCACACACTTTTCGTGACTCTCTCGTCACATGACCACGTCAGGAGCGACAGTACACTATCCTGTGATTGGTCACGCGCAATATTGGAGGTAATTTTCAATATTAAGTGAACTCTCTGGCAGGATTTACTCGACAGGAATTCATATATAGATCGGGACGAAACATTCCGCCCATCTAAAATTTAGAGAAATTTTACAAAAAAAAAAAAACCTAGATTATTTTGAATTATGGACAAGCACGAACAATAATCATTAACAATGAATTTACATTGGCAATGGGCATAATTTTGTAACAGGGCGTTTCAATGTTCCCTTGGCGGTTTTAACAGTTACCACTCTGATAATTGAATCTGCGCCAGGATGGACCTCTAAAACGCGCCCCAAATGCCACTTCAGTGGAGGGGAAAGTTCATCTTTCAATAAAACGAGAGTACCCTGTTCAATGGGAACAGAAGGATCGGTCCATTTGGATCTCTGTAAAAGGGTATGGAGATACTCTCGGTGCCACCTCGCCCAGAAATCTTGATGTAATCTCTGGACGAGCTGCCACCGAGATAGCCTAGACAACTTGATGTCGGTCAAATCTGGTTCCGGCAATGAGTTGAGCGGTGCTAAGGTCAAGAAATGACCAGGGGTCAAGGCTGTACAATCATTGGGGTCTGAGCTGATTGGCCCGATGGGTCTAGAATTCAGAACTGACTCTATTTGAGACAGTGTGGTTGAAAACTCTTCATAAGTCATGAGTTGGTCTCCAGATATACGAAGAAGGTGAGACTTCACGGACTTTATTCCCGCTTCCCACAAACCACCCCAATTTGGTGATAGTGGAGGAATTCTGTGAAAAGTAATTGCTTCAGTTTCAGCAGCCTGCTGCATTGCTAGAGAGACCTGAGTAGACGCCCCAACAAAGTTCGTTCCTTGATCACTATATAAATGTTGACATTGTCCCCGCCGTGCAATAAAACGACGTAGGGCACCAAGAAATGTATCCGTTGTAAGGTCAGAAGCGAGCTCTAGGTGAATTGCCTTGGTGGACATACACACAAAAAGACATATATATGCCTTTTGCACCTTGGCACCACGGGTGCGACCTAGTGTGATAGAAAAGGGTCCACCATAGTCAACACCAGTTCGAAAAAAGGGTTTTACTTGAGAGACGCGTATTTCTGGGAGATTGCCCATCGGTGGTTGGCGAATAGGAGGGTTTATACGAAAACACTTGAGACAATGAGATATTACCTTGCGAATTGTTCGTTTGGGTGCTAGAATCCAGTATCGTTGGATAAGGAGATGATGCAAGGTTTGAAAACCGGGATGTAAGAATTTTTTATGGGTATACTCGATCACGAGCTGAGTGAAGCGATGTGAACTGGGAAGAAGAGCAGGGTGCTTCTGTTCGAAAGATAGTTTTGAGTAGACCAACCGTCCACCCACCCTCAGAACACCCTCTTCGTCAATGAAGGGGCTGAGTTTTCGAAAATATTTGGGAAGAAGTCCTTTGTTTTGAATCAGATTGATCTCATGAGAAAAGGACTCACCTTGAGTATATTTCAGTAGAGCTGATCTAGCCTGTTCGAGATCAGACTGATTCAATGGACCCGTTAGAGAAAGATGATTCTTGTGGTTACGGCTATTATAGATGAAACGGAGAACATAGCAAAGAATTCGTTCAATCTTGAGTAATGCAGAGAAACGGTTCAATAAATATTCCATGGGATTAATTTCCTGAGTGGTGACACAAACGACCTTCCGATGTTCTTCATCTGTGAAGAAAATATTTTCCGAAGCATTGTGAAATGATGGAGGCCAGTTATCATAAGGAAGTCGTAGCCAGGTTGGCCCCGCCCACCATAAAGAGTTTGCGATAAGCTCAGAAGGAAGAAGACCCCTCGATGCGGGGTCAGCAGGGTTGTCTTCAGATGAGACGTGATACCAAAGAGATGGAGGAACCCTTTCTTGAATCGTAGTCACCCTATTCGAAACAAAACAATTCAAAGTATGAGGGCTGCTACGTATCCACGCCAACACTGTCGTAGAGTCTGAAAAAACCATGATTTTATCAATTTGGAGTTTTCCTTCGAAGATATCGGAAACATATGATATTAATTCTGATAGTAACAGAGCGCCGCATAATTCCAATCGGGGTATCGAAATGGTTTTCAGAGGTGCTACTCTAGATTTAGCACAGATTAGATGAGAAGTTATAATTTGATTAGAATGTACTACTCGGAGATACGTGACTGCAGCATATCCCACTTGACTGGCATCAGAAAATCCAATCAGTTGACAGGAAATTGTTGTCTTTGAAACAATGAGACGGGGTACCTGAATTGAGGAAAGGTGACGAAATTCAGATTTGAGCTTAGACCAACGTTGTATTATACTAGTGGGAGGTTGACTATCCCAGTCAATTCCCAGGGTCCACAGATCTTGCATTAAATGTTTAATATATAAAACCAGGGGGGTGAGGAGGCCAATTGGGTCGTAAATGCGTGCCAGCTCAGATAGAATTGACCGTTTAGTGCACGGTTTATCCAGAGGATTAACGTGATACGAAAAGACATCAGTTGAGGGATTCCATTGAAGACCTAAAATTTTTATAGTAGAATCAGCTACATCATCAAGAAGGAGTGGTCGAGTTTGGAGAGAGGAGAGTGGTAAATGTGATAACAGTTGCGGATTGTTGCTTGCCCACTTACGTAGTTCGAAGCCCCCTCGGCTAAGAACCTCAACCAAATTCTTCTGGATTTCAAGCGCGCTCTCAACAGAACTCGACCCTGAAACTACGTCATCAACAAATACGTCATGAGAAAGAATGTGTGAAATAACCGGAAAGTGAGATTCATTATCTTGAGATAGCTGATGAATTGTTCTAATTGCTAAATATGGACTACAACTAAGTCCATAGGTGACTGTGTTTAAGCAATATGTTTGGATGGGATCTGATTCAGAAAAGCGCCAAAGAATCCTTTGATAATTTTGGTGTTGGTTAGCGACGAGAATTTGCCTATACATTTGTTTTATGTCGGCAGTAAAACAAACAAGATGGAGTCGGAATCTGGTTAAAATATTCACAAGATCAGGTTGCAACTTCCTACCAGGCAAAAGACAATCATTCAAAGAGAGGTTGTTTGAACATTTTGAAGATCCATCAAATACCACCCTCAATTTGGTGGTGGAGCTGTCGGGTTTTAACACACAATGGTGGGGTATATAATAGGAGAATGGGGTATAAAAATCATCATCATAAATCTTAGTCATGTGACCAGCAGTGAGATAGTCGTTCATAAAGTCACGGTATTGTTCATATAAGGGGCGATTCCTCATCAAACGGCGTTCTAGGGAATTGAAACGACGTAAAGCAATTTGTTTAGAGTCTTCAAAGGTGGGTTCTTCATTACGAAACGGGAGAGTTACTACGAACCTGCCAGACGAAGTGCGAGTTACTGTATCATCATAAATTTGATCAGCGATGAGTTCGTCGGGGGATGAGATAATTGTTGAGGGGATTTGTTCGAGTTCCCAGAATTTTTTCACCAAATTTTCCAAGTGGGAAGTCGAACAGGAGGTCAGGAAACTATGTGTTTCCAACTGTGATGGGGTACCAACTTTACCCATTATGATCCAACCGAAAATTGTTTCGAGTGCCACCGGTTCATCCAATGAAATAGGTGGACTACCTCCCTTAATTATGTACGCAAAAATGTCAGCTCCTAATAACATTTCGACAGGGCTAGAGATGTTGAAATTGGGGTCAGCTAATTTGAGGTTAGAATATTTAGAAAACTTATCTATGGATATATTAGAGCAAGGCATATCAGAACAGATTTGTGGTAAAATAATCAAGTCAATATCCAAAACAGGGTCAATACTTCCCTTTGGCTTGATACTACATGAGACTCCTTGATTTGCATGAGAGGTTATTTGCCCAACACCCCGTATTTTGATCGATAAGTCCATTCTAGACAATCCCAATTTATCGCAACATCTTGAACTTATGAATGAACACTGGCTAGCACTATCTAAGAGTGCTCGTACAGGCTGATATTTTCCACGAGAATCCAAAACCTCAATCATGGCCGTGGAGAGCAATATTGTACTCTGAATATTAGAAAACATACTAACAGGAGCATTATTAGAAGCGTTTTGAGAATTTATGTGACCTTCACATTGATTAGGATTATGGGGGGAGGAAACTCCTGAAGTACTTGGAGAAGTGTCATGACGAGGGTCTGGATTCACACTATTATCAAAATGTAATAATGAGTGATGAGGTAACGAGCATTTTTTGCATAAAAAACTTGATGAACAAGTAGAGGCTGTATGCTTTGACCCCAAACAATTTGTACACCATTTTTTTGTTTTTACTAAAGCATACCGATCTTTTGGTGAACGAGATAAAAATGAATTGCAATTATAAATGTGGTGTGTTTTATTACATAACTGGCAATTATTAGTCGATGGAACCGAGTTAACCACAAACGAAGAACTTGGTTTAAATTTCAAAGATTTATTCGTGTTATAAGAGAATGACTGTTTGAATTTAGAATTATCGGGTTTATATTTTGAAGTACTCGGGCTCGACAAAGCCACATTATCCATTGCACTGCACTGTCTCTCAAGAAACTCCATGAGAATGTTGAAGTAACCGGGAGAACCTAATTTGGAGGAACATTCAAATTCAAATCGAGTTTGTGTATCTGAGTCGATTCTATCGAACAACATGTTAAACAAAATGAAATCCCATTGTTTTACTGGAAATGCTAGATTTTCTAATACTGCCAAATTTTCATTGAATGTATCTAAAATGTGACGCAATGCTTCAAGATTATCAGTTACATTAATTTTTCTTGTACCTTCAATTGAGTGCCAGTGTGTTGATGCTATCAATCTGACGTTTTCATACTTTTTTTTCAATGCGTTATAAGCAATCATATAATTTGATCCAGTTAGTGGTGTGCATTTCACGATAGATAAGGGATGACCCTTTAGAGAGGCTAATAAATAATTAAATTTGTCTATATGGGCTAGTGAATCATTATTATGAATGGTAGAATTAAACATGTCAATGAAAGTTTGCCATTCCTTCATATTACCATCAAAAACAGGGAGCTCAAGTTTAGGGAGTTTAATATTATTTTTAGTAACGGTGTTCGTGTCAGGTGGAGGGTTTTCATCAAACATTTGAGAATAAATTGCTTGAATGTGATAAAAATCTTTATCAAAGGTAGAAAAAAGTTCATGATGCGGTGCTAAATCAGGATTATCCTGAGTTGAAATTAATGTGATGATACCCTCATGAATTACCTCAAATTTTGAAGCAATACTATTTATATACTTATAGCGACATTTGAAATTGGTATGAACATTTGCATCAGTCAAAGACAATTCTGCAATTCGTTTCAATTCAGCCATTTTTATCAATTCTGTTTCTCTTTGAGCAAGATACCCTTTCAGTCTACGCTGTTCTTGAGTCATTATGAAAAGTGAACGCGCAACCAAGGCGACTGACTGATGAAATTTTACGAAAAATCAAATGTGAAGTGTGTAGGTAAATACCTCGGTTAATACCTAATTACTCTAGTTATTGATAAACTTGATGAAATTGAGAATAATAATTCGCAAAGACGCATGAACGGAATGATAATTAATATATTATGGGTTACTTCATTACCTAAATCGGCGAAGTACAGAATTTTGAGAATATATCGAGAGCGAATCCGAAATCAAAACAAACAAATCGAATTCATAGACCCGGCTAATATTGACGGTCCAAGAAAGAGAGAGACGACGCGATTCATGTGACTTGTGCGAATTCGAAATCCACCGTGGCGCGAGATACCTTTGCGATGATACCTGAATGGAAGTGCGCTAATTATATGCGCGCACGGTACTAACAGGAATACCGTACCGAGATTAATGGCTGCCAAAGAGTTGACCTATTAAAAATTTAAATAATTGAAAATAACACGAAAATTTACTGTACTCTGAAACATTGAAAATTGATTCAAAAAAATCCGGCTCGAAGGACCAAATGTCAATGCGATATATAATGGACTGTAATTTGTGTCTTTAAGCGGCAATACAGGATAGGCACTTATCACTCACCGTTTGATTCCTCGTTTCTTTTACTTCCAAATGGTGTAGCAGGACTGGCGGCGGTACCGCCTGATGAAGCTCCTTGCTTATCTTGTGGGTATAATGTTTATCACAGGTGAACACTATGATTGTATCACTCAATTCACTGTAATAGGGGGTGAAGTTATAAGTAAATTTTAATTGAATTATTTTCGAGATTATTCTGGAGCAGGTCACACTCGTTTTTTCCCGAGTACCGAGTTGATCGAGACCACACACTTTTCGTGACTCTCTCGTCACATGACCACGTCAGGAGCGACAGTACACTATCCTGTGATTGGTCACGCGCAATATTGGAGGTAATTTTCAATATTAAGTGAACTCTCTGGCAGGATTTACTCGACAGGAATTCATATATAGATCGGGACGAAACAATATTATTGTTTTGATACATAACAGACATATTTCAATATTCTGTGGTATCAGCCAGGAAAAAAGTTGTTCTCTTTCAGATATTCAAACAATAGTTAGTGTACTTTTTTCAACCCATTAGATACCTACCACCATCAAAGTCACTTAGGAAAAATAGTTTTATTTTGTTAAAATTTATTTTTTCTACTAGCTTGCGGAAAAGTCCACTTTTCCGCACTAATATTAGTGTTGACAAAGTCACTTTTTCGTACTAGTGCAGAGAAAACACTAAAACGAGTCCGGAAAAGAGGAATTTGTTTTTTTCTGCATGCTATAGTAGAAAAAATAGTGTACCTAACAACGGCGTAAAGTGACTTTCCCACACCTCTTAGGTAAATTACTATATTGGGCACAAAACTGATTTTATTGAACCTCTCTGTTTTTTCTTCAAAGATTTTGATGGTTCCACGCACGCGATTCTCTCTCACAGTACCTGCTGCGCAAAAACGTGCGTTATTTGAATTTTTCACATAAATTTAGAGGTTATGTGAAAAAAGTGTGTTCACAAAAGTTGTTGGTCTCTTTATTACCTACAACTTTGTCATTTAATATTTCTCCATAGGACTTGTGGTTTTGCCGGAAATCGAGATACGCCGTTTTTTACCCTTAAAACTCACCCCCTTCCACTTCCCGACCTCAGATCGCCCGTAAATTGTTTTTCCATTCATTTTTGTTATATTCTCGTCCTTTCTCAACGGGTTCTTCCTATTACAGTGCAGACTCGATAATCCGAATGTTCAATAATCCGAATTCTTCAGCAGTCCGAACAAGCATTTTTAATACATTGAGTACTCTATAATCCGAATTTCATAGTACTCGATAATCCGAACCTATACATTTAGGCCTATTTATTTCCTATAGAAATTGTGAGTGAATGTTCAGGGATTCCCCTCGGTGGTCGAGAGCGTGAAGGCGCTGAGTTCGTATGGGGACTCCCACCGAGACATAGGTTCGAATCCTAGTTAGGCCATGGATGTTTGTGTTCGTATGTATACCTAACCCCGCACAAGTTTCGACTTATGAAGCGTTTGGTCCCAGTGCTGGTACCAACGAGGTATGCAATAGCAAAAAAAAATTGTTCTTTTGTTAGTATCTGGGATTCACATTACGCAAGGAAGAGAATAATATTCCGTTAAATGATATTCTTGTACTCCAAAGATTAAAAGAAATGGCCTTTATAAATAATCAAAGATGTGTTAAGCAAACAAAAATTACAAATTACTTTAGAAACTAGTATTATATTCTTACTTTTATGCATATTTTAGTGTTACTTTTTCGTATTTATGTTTTTTTTGCATTTCGTAATGAAAAATTTAAAAAAAAACTGCTTCGGTAATCCGAATTTTTTGGTAATCCGAATCGCCTTGGTTTTTATTAGTTCGGATTATCGAGTCTGCACTACTATTATTTTTTTTTGTTTCAAAAATTATTGACCCTGGTCTACTGTTGGCGGACCTCCCCTAAGACTGTTATTAATAAACCCATACGCCACCATAGCAGCAGCAATGTTGATTTCAACGCAACAGCAAATTGTGCAGGACTCTCCTCATTCCAGCTGCGTAATAATAAATATCTGCTCTGGCGGTGGGGTAAACCAAATTTTAAAAAAACTGCAAAAATATCATTGTTGTTGAGACAAAACGTGTTCAAGGCAAGAATATGTTCATAGGAACTTTTAATTTTGTAATGAAGTGAGACTTACTCATTGTGATGTAGGTAATGTTTGTGGTTTCGTTCAGATTAATTATTTTTTATTTGTCGGAAGATTCAGTTCTAATCAGATCAAAGCGTAATTGAATTTCGAAATATTGTTTCCATTGCTGAATCATCCCTCACGTGAATTAATGGATGTTGTTTATATTTGTTAAGGATATATGATTTCCTCTTATCTGTGAATGGCCAGATTCATTTTCAGTGAAGATTCGATTTTAGTTTCAGTACTATTGGAATACTGTGGGAGACAATTATGTTGTTTGTATAACAGTAAATACTAAATTTGGACCATCGAAAAAACCTCGTAAATCGATTTGGGTACAAAATGAATTTATGTACCAAAATTGGGAAGATTACAAGCTTTGTCGTCATCTGAATCTGTTGGCTACTAAAGGTTAGTTGTCACAAAAAATATGCACATGGGTATTTTTAACTTGAAAAAGAAGAACCCAACGTGATCTTTCAACATCAAGAATTCTTTTCTGTGAATAGTAAAATGAGAAACAAATTATTGTTATGTAAGCGTATACCTGGTGTCAACGAATTCATTAGACAAGTCATGGTTGAGATTGGAATTTGACAGGGATGTAGGATTCGAGAATCGGAAAGTTTTGGAAAATATTTCATTCTCTCCCACTACTTTCGGTTTCACCGGTAACGACCACAACTTTTGATTTTCAAATGGGACACACCCTGTGTCTTATACCATAATCGGTTAGGGAATATCATGAAAACTTCAACAATACCGGGATTGATAGGATTAACAGAGAAAGAAGTTTCACATCCATTACCCATTGAGCATAATATGGAACTTCAAACGCAACTATCTTCGTAATCCTTTGAAATAACCCTATCAAACCGGGTATCTTTGAATTCGTTATGATAATTCCTAACTGATTATGTGAGTGGAAATGAAAAGTTATTTGGAGTAATTTCTGGTAAAACCTAACTGGACAATTTTTTTTTTATTTCCTAAATATAATCCTCACTCAAATACCTTTCAATTTCATATTATTTAAGAATTGTTCGATCGATTTTTAGGCGCTAAAATCATCAGAAATGACAGTAAAAACTGACGCAACGATTTCGTAAGTAGGGGCAGACCATAGCACAGTTGCCATGTGTTGAAATACGATTGGGAAATTCAGAAAAAATAGTTATTCAATAATTCATAAATTCTCAATTGATTATTGGTAATATTCCTGATTAGCATCAAAAATTCAATTGTCTCAAAATGCTCCCTCATGATTTGTGGCTTACTACTTATAATGAATTTGTGTAAATAATAAATAATAATTATATTAATTCACACAAGAGGACATTGAATCGGTGAACGTGACAACACGGCGCACGACTTGTGTTCGTGATCTTGTCAGTTCTCAGCATTCAGCACAATGTTGCCAAGTCTCCAACATTTACATGATATTTTTTGTTATGGAGAATAAGAAATATTTGGACATGTTGGTTGCTCGTAAAAGTGAAGAATGAACTACAATATCGTGGGTTCCTCCTATTATGTTTTATTCAAGGACAGGACTCTTCCTTCTGATAACTTTATATAATTGGTGACTTCACAACCGTGCTTCATGAGTGGAAATGGAAGATTATCTGACCAATAACGAAGCAGCATAAAAACTGACGTTTATTCGACATATCGCCAAGTGGCGGCTATGAAGGTTCATTCAAAATAATTCAACAAATTCGAACAACGCATAAACTCATTATTTACAATAAGAGAGCGTTAGAAGTGTTGCTAAAAATAATTCGGGCTCCTGACGACACGCCCATTCTTGATGAATATCATGCTTTCAGTACTCTGGAAAACATGGCTTGTCTAATGAATACGTTGACAAGAATGTAAAAATATATCCAGATATTTGATTTGAACAAACGATTATTATTATAAAAAAAATGTATAAAAACATGTACTATATCTCGGGAGCAAATTTTTCCATTATCCATTGTTACCTTCTTGTTATCATTCTAATAATACCCAGTGTTTATTTTAATCAAACTCGTCAACATTGATGTACTTTCTTTCCAGATGTCAGTTCTCTCTACTTGAGTCCAACTTGTTTCCGGTCTCCTCTTACAGCATCACTGAATATGCAAGACAAAGCAGAAGCACTAGGATTCATTGCATATTTGAAGGACGACAGCAGAATTCTTCTTAATCCAGGCTTAAAAGATGATGTGCGGGATGAAGTGTCTCTAGTATCGTATGTACTGAACTTTCTTCAGAAGAATCATTTTTATTCAACAATGTCTAATTACATAGTGAGACGATATGCATCATCTAATACAGGGGTTTTTCAAATATTCCCTGGGACTGTGCTCAAACCAGGTTGGATATCCACAAATAGCCGGTGGTTCACTAAAGCATGGGAGCATAATGGAAATGTTGTTTTCATTCCACCTTACTCCGACAAAGGGGGAGCAGGTTATGTCGTTACAGTTGCTTACGCTACATCTGAACTAGTGGTAGCAATGGATATAACTTATGGTTACATGCTTAAGGTGCTGGTGAAGTACCTACCAGACTGTCTTAGTGAAAATATCACTTGTTTTATGTTCGATGACGAGGGATATATTATTTATCATCCGAATTTGATGGAAATCGGTGGTACAAAGCCGGTAGAACAGCAGCATATTGTGCATAAGGAGTCATTAGTATCGAATGATATCCTAAATCACAAACATTTCATTCGTAAGTTGCTCTGCAATAGCTACAGCGACAATACAATACAACGATATTACAAACTGAACACTAGTTTTAAGGATGTGCTAGTCAATTTCGTTCCTGGTGAACACTGTGTTACATATCGAATCACGAGCGTGCCGGACACTAACGTATTCATAGGTATAGTCAATACTTCTTGTAATTTCGGATCCACTTTCTGTCCATGTAGTATAGTGGATCGTCTCTGCTTGAATTGTAAACGAATGGAACAGAACGAGTGCGAGTGTCCTTGCGAGTGCCCTTTAGTTATGGAAAATGATATTTGTGATACAAAATTTGACAAATCTAACATGACTGATAATTTACCGTGTACCCAACACAATGAGGAATCTTTAGGTAATAAATTTATTTTCAATACTGACTCTAACTTGGAACCTTGCTTTCCAATAACTTGCTATGCCCAAAAAACTTACTTGGACTGTCTAGGGCTGCTAGGATGCCAATGGTGCCTATACGACGCAGATAGAAATTATCTCAAGGACCCATTCTGTGCGTCTATAACTACCTGCCTTAACGGTGTTTTTGATGCTTCCGAATTTTATTTAGGAACTCTTCCAAATTCAGAGTTTTCTCCGGTAGGGCCAATCCTCGGGTCCATTATTGCCATATCAGTATTGTTTTTACTCCTTTTCTTCTGCTATCGATCTTACACCAACCATATGACTGAAAGATTCAATTTGTCTTCCACACATGACCAATTGCGAATGAGTGACTTAAATATAACTGATAATTTTCACGATTCGGGGAACCACAGAGATAAACTCTTGGAAGAGGAACATCCTAATGTAATTTCTCCTTACTGTGTGGCTAGTACATATAGACGGGCAGCTATACCTGCTGATTCGGATCATGGTTATTCAACCATGACTCCTCATGATGAATCTGAACACTTGTCAGTGGCACCTGTTGAAGTTGACTCTCTGGAAGATGACATAACGTCCGATAATACCTCGATTCATACCAGCATTTCAAACAAGGAAAGCCCAAAAGTATTATTACCAATGTTTACTAGGATTCCTAATAGGAATTGCATAACTGTACCAGTGACTGTTCATAGAAATAGGGAGATAACCTGACAAACAGCCTATTTTCAGTATTCGCACATATTTATTGCCATGTATGTAAATGTATATTCATATAAAAGGGAGCATGTTCCCAGTACATTGTATTTTTGTAAATATTTTTTATTGAACGCCTATTACTAAAAGAAATTGTTACTAAACTCATGTTTGATTTAAATACCTAAACCTTATTTCATTCTAGAATGATGGTGGTTTATCAGTAATGTTTATATTTTGTAACCCTCTGTTTTCAAGTGAATCAATTATTTTGCAGTGGAGCAGTGGGTTGTGTTGCAAACCAAAATCCCAAAATGGTAGTCTAAGGATCCAGTCATCATCACTGTGTATCCTAAAGCCCGTATGGCACGGCCAGTTTTTCACTCATAAAATGGATCATTATTGAACACAATAAAACATTCAGAATAATCTGAATCATTTTCTGTGGGAAAATAATGCTGTACCGTGTGACACGGCATACCATCACAGATAAGATATTGTGCTGAGGGGGCATGCGCATGTTATAAAATAATATAATATGCAGAAGCACATGCTGGTCGTGCGTGTATAGTAACCTCAAAATATATTTTTGGAAGAAGATATTCAAAATTGAAGAATTGTATAAGTAATAGTTTCCCTTAAAAAATATCTGTTTGCAGTTCTGCAAAAGTGGGTGCCATGCTCAACGTATTTGTTTGAAAATATCGGAATGGAAAAATATAAGAAAATTGTCTCGTGAATCGCTCCGAAGAAAACACCCGTGGGCTAGGAGTTCTGAATATGGACTTAATGGAAACCCTGTATCTACAAATTTCATAAGAATGAAAATTGATCAGTTCACTTTTGTTCTGGACAAAATAAACTGAAAAAGATACAAATATGCGAGAATGTATTTCATCAGAAATGAGGTAGGTACTCAATCCACATTTCATCTTTGTCAAAGCGTCTACTTGAGCGTTTGATTGTGAACGAGATTGCAAACAAACAGGGATATTTTTGGTATTCTTCAATTAAAGCACCAACATATGTTCGGAGCATACCATTATAGAACTGATGTTATCTGAATTTGAGATAACAGTAAAGTTAATCAGTGGACATATATATTATTTGTAATTTATATTACATCAATTATCCTTTCAAAATACCAAGAAAGTGACATTACCATAACCCCAAAAAATTGTTTCTCACTTCAAAACAAAACAAACAATTCGAAGGCTAAATTACGGCGTTACGCGCAAGCGCTTCAACATAATATGAAAGGAAAATAGGATATTATGTTCTATTTTTCATCCAATTTTGCATCAGTCTCTCGGACTATCTGTTTCTGTGATACACGGTGCAGTAAATTCTGAATACAAATTCTTATTCAGAAAATAGATGAAAAACTGGCCCATGTCATACGGACTTAAGGAGCGTTGAGGTTTTGACAAAAAAAAATCTGATAATGCTGGAATTTGTTTTTTCATTTCGAGCTTCTGGACGAAACCAGTTCATCTATCCTTCAAGACTAACTCTCTGCGTTAGTCGACATATGGAAAAATATAGTACCGTCAACTGGGGTAATGGTTCTGACTATTTAGTTGTATCTACAAGACAATTTAATTAAATATCGAAGCTCAAAGAGATTTCCACAGATATTCATAAATGAACGAAACTGGCAGATAGCGAGATAAAAACAACTATTTCCTGGCTATATGTCACGCATTGAATTACATCCTCCCGAAATCTATGCAATGATTCGTATAGAAGAATAAAATCGAGGATGTGCTGACTGGGCCTGTCCAGTTTGTCTGAGAACTATACTCGACAATTCCTCTAGGAGAGGTCCTAAAGACAGGAATACAACAAACTAATGAAAATAATAATAATATTTTTATTGTGCAAAAAATATGACAATATCTCTTCAAATCAGTTTTGTAAAAAATCTACCAACTAAATATCAACCATATACCCATATATATGGTAAACAAAATCATCTAAATCACTATATATTAACCCCCTTGGTAAACGAAAGAACTCGGCTGATGTCATGATTTAAAGCAAAAGTATATTAAACGAAAACAATACAATATACATGTGTCTCCAAAAATCTTATTTCAAGAGGAGACTGTTTTAAGAGAAATTTATTGAAACAAATCACAGAAATTAATGTTCTCCTGGACAATCTAAAAGTAGTTAATCTAACATTCAGCATATTGAAAACGTTTCTAAATTGAATTAAGATCAGCAACTTTTCAGAACACTACATGCTCAATTATGTTATCATTTGATAAGAGCAGCTAGTGAAATATTTGACGAGATAATAGAAAATATCAAATTTCGTTGTCTTTAGAAATGCGTTTATGAACCTCATAGATAACAAATACTTTTGAATTGCGTATTTTCAATATGCCAAGTTCCGACAAATACCCTCATTTCTATCAAGTGCAAATGTAAAAATTATTGTTATCTGTACTAATGAAGCTTGCCCTCGAATGCTGCAATTGAGAATTTCTGTTTGAAATAAGCTGAATTTTAAAACAACTTCTCTTACCTTTTGATTCAGTAATTGTATTTTTTCATACTATCAGGAATGACTCTTGGAGATACTTTCAAATATACATACATATACATACATCTTGTAGCCATTTGATACAGTTCTCGTTTTTAATTTGTACAAAAAATATCTGAATTAATTCTCATGAATAACTAGTAACGCAGTTATAATAATATATAATAATAATCATAAATATATTAAAATATATTACCTAACCAACAACAGTGCAAAGCAATATACTTATGCGAATTTGCAAATACATACATATAAGAAAATAATATGGTGCTCACAAAATAGTTTACTATACCTCACATACAAAAAGCTATTTTATAATACTTCATAAAGTATATTATCAGTTCCATAAACAATAGTGGGTTAGCTTTCAGAGTTAATATTCATTTTTATCAAAGCCCATTCAAACATAACAAGCAACAAATCTGCCCAAAAATTAATAACCACAATATTATTAGCACCGCCTTTCTATTACTCTGTTCATTTCCAGTTTTCAATACAACATTCATTGGCAATCAGTGGTTGTCCCATTTCCATAAAAATTATCATACCCAATGATATTCTTGAAATGTTCGACAACAAAATGAATCCAAAACATCTAGATCAATTCAAGATAAGTCATCTTAGGTGTATTCGAGATATTAAAGTAGCATTTACAAATACAAAAAAAAGTTCGGTTAGTTGGATTTCTTATCGTAAACTGTCTCATGGAAATGCAACAAATTTGGGATTGCAGTGCAAGCTGAGATTCCATCTGATACACATGAATTAGGTAGTGGATTAACTCCTTCTTAAGATTACTTCATAATATGCTTGCTCACTTACACACTCATACCCGGGTAATATCTTATATGTACAGGGTCTTCAATAAAGACCAATCAGACTTTTGCCGTCAATTGACTAATCGAGATAACTCAAAAGCTGCCCAATGGATCATTGTTTTCTTTGAAAAGTGATGAGCTGCAAAATCATACAATCTTCTGTAACAAACGTCGGATCAGTCCAGTGAAAATCAAAAACCCTGTTCAAATAGTGAAAGTATATGAGTAATAAATCGAAAAATAAAACTGTCATATTGGTTGTCGGAAGCACTGAAATTTATAACTCAATTTATAGTTATCTCACCCAACACTTGGAATAAGATTCTCATTTATTTCCCGAGATATTATCTAGTACCCTAGTAAACATAAAAGTTGAATATGTAGGTATTAGTATTATTAGAACCAAACAAAATGGGCTATTGTGGTTATATAATGTGGCTGTTACTATTCATTCAATATATTTGTATCTTAAATACCCTGATGAACTGTTTCATATAAGTGAATACATTTAATCTTATTCTGATTTAATGCCATGAACAATTTGTGATGTGATTGATTTCATTGTTTTAATAAATATGCCAAAAAGCGGAATTGTCGCAAATTAAGATATACATTTCCAAAAAATATATAATTCAGTGACTTGAATAAAGAATTACTCACTAATAAATGATACAAAGACATTTGATAAATAAGGCAGTGTCAGTAAAAAAATATAAAAAGATTCAGTTACATTTGCATTGTAAAAGAGTCATTCGATATATTTATTCTAGATGGCTTATATTATAAGGTTACTCAAAGCAGAAACATTGAATATTATGGCTCAGTTTACTCAGTTACATGAATACTTATCTCAATTTTGAATGAAACGTTCGAATTTTTCTCAAATACAACACTTTTAGTACATAATTTCTGTCACAAAAAGCTGAGCAACCTTAACTTCCGTCAATGAAGATTTTGTGTTAATTCAGAAAGTTATCTAGTATCGCCAAGTATTTGTAATGAATAATGATCGCCATCAATATTTAACAAAACGAACTATTCTAACCTACGTTTCTACATATATCAAGTTATTTTGATTATGAACTTCAGAACTTACTGATATGGACGAAATTAAACTTGAAAATTATAATCACTTTAAACGAAAAATAGCAAATGACGAAATGTTTACTTAACAATTATAAGTTAGAGAGTCTCTGAGATATAACACAACACAAAAAGCTACCGAAATTCACGAATATTTAGACGTAGGTACCCACTGCATTGTTATTTGTTCCCTGCATCGCTGCGGAAATGCCTAGCTGCTTCATGTTACTAGGCACATACTGCCCAATGAATGACCCATCTTCAGTGAAACGACCTATTGAAAATTACATTGTTTAATTCACACTATTTCCAAAAGTAGCAAATACTACCAAACGTAGGTAATTATTGAATGTTAGTTGAATACGATTCCGAGAGAGGTTTTATTATTTTCCTCCAATTATTTTAAATATTGTCCACTCCTATCGAATTGACATAACTACTGAAATCATCAGAATTCATTTGTTTAGCTACTCTTCAACATGTTAAAATAAATACAAACTGAAAATTTCAAACTCATTGACTAATAATTTCTGGCTCCTGTAATAAGGTTAGAGATTGCCAACCCATTATGAGACCTTGAAATCCTGGCGGAAATTTCAAAAATTCTCAAAACTTTTTCGAAAATTTTGTTTTCTCGATATATCTCGATATTGGCTCATCCTAGGACCTAGGGGAAAAGTTATCTTACACAAAAATAAAGGAAATTACATTCACTACAAATAGCTTCAATATGTTTCTTGTACCACCTAAGTTCTGCCAACTTGATGACACTAAAATGGTGAAGTCTCATCCATTATTACACATAATTGTCGCTTATGATATCTCTTGACAAAATACCATTTTAGATACCTACGTATAGTAAGTAAGTATATCAAGCTTATAATTAACATAATTTTTCCAGTAGCCGTATCCACAGAACCAGGTCAATTCTGATGTCTTTCCAGGTTTGCTGAAATCTGGAGATTTCAATTTCATTCTCCTCAGACAATGTCAAATTGGTATTGTCCTCTAAATCTCTCAACTATTGTCTTCACGACAGTTTGGAAGAAATATCTTCTCATTCATCTTTCACGTAGCAATAAGTTCTTGGATACTTCACAGGCCAAAGGAGACACCTCTAATAACTATCCATCAACATCTACAAGACGCTCCACGGTCTTTTTCAACAATTACATGATATAAACTTCATTACTTTTTGGAGTAAGATCCTTGAAAGTTGTGATCAATACAAGCAGCCCATACCAAACTTCTTAATTTGACTTTAATAAAATTCCTTTTACAGGCTATATTATGAAACACGCCGGAAGCTATAATAATTCTGTTTATATGAATTGAAAAACACAAGGAACTGGTACAAATGTCGATCCTTATCAAAATTAACGGTTGTATTCATGAAGAAGGTAAACCCGTAAACCATGGATTATACTATAGCTGGTGATGAACAACAGAACAAGTCCATAACCTATCAGAAAACTACAACTTGACCTCAGTAAAACAGCACGATTTTCGAGATAATGCAACTTTTATATTCAAAAAACTAAATTTCTATCGGTTCATTCTTTCATGTTCCAGATCATGTTATATCTTGTTTTCAATGAATGTTGCCGAGTGGTGGTTGTTGCAATCGCGGAGGGCGGATTTTCGATGGCAGTCGTTTACGATCTACAGATAGAAAAATGCCAACGAAGTTTCATAATCATAAAGGATCGAAATCAAAGGATATTTTTTATATTGGCCGTAAAAGTGACTGCTGTCGAAGGTCTGTCTTTCGCGGTTGTTGCAACTACTGTTCAGTGGTGTTTGTCGAAAGTGTGTAATAGCATAGGGCACTCCTCATTTGCTTGGAGTATATAAGAATGATCTTGGATAGGAATTTGATTCTTTTATAACTTCTCTAATGCAAGTATTATTCCCTGCAATGAACTTTCAGCTAGGTTTGGATATTTTGTAAATGCTGTTTTATTACCGAAGAAATTTAATTGATTCTTTTCATGTCTTGAAGCGCACGAAATAAAATTCCTATAAGGTTCGAATAACATCGTGCGTACCTAGGAAGGGTAGGAACAGGAGGTATGTGTTGGTTTTTTTTTTGAACTTTTGGAGGTTAGAAGCTTTCGGGAATACTCCCATTGGCGAATAATTCCGAAGCTTTCGGGAATACTCCCATTGGCGAATAATTCCAAAGCTTTGCCGTTCTACAGACGAACGAGTTTTGGTAAAGTGTTGTTCTATTTCAACGCTGACAATGGAAGGATGTGCTGACTGGGCCTGTCGAGTTCGTCTGACTGATATTGCTAGTAATGATAGCAGAGATTTCTGAGGAACATTTCCCGTGGAAGTATCCATAGAAAAGTGAATGGTCACCGACTTTTCTACGGTGTTCTAATATGGTCGGTCATAGGATTAGTGAGTGTGGAACACCCACCAGGCGAATGGCTCTTCTCTGGATGAAATTCAAGAGCATCAATGTATGTTTGGGTGCTAAACCCCATCTGTGAGAACAGTTTTCTGGAACTGCCCGTATATGTGCTTTGTAGATGGTGAAAAGCTGTGTAAAGTAGATTTTCGCACGGGTTTCCTGGGAAGAAATGGGAATTCTCGAAAAGCTTTGGATAGTTGCTCCCAACAGATCATTGATATGAACAATATTGGTGCCAAAATTGATCTGTGCAATGTCGGAATTGATGGCGATGGTATCAGACGATACTACGTCCACCACCACATGGAGCGATCTGCCTGAAAGAAAACTCGATAAAACATGGCATAGCTGAGGTGATAAGGTGAGGTGGTAGTTTGTGGAGCAGTTCTTGGTGCCAAACACGATCGAATGCCTTCGATATATCTAGCGCTACAGCTAGAGATTCCCTGTCTTTCTAATGAAGTTTGCCATATATGGGTGACGTAGGAAAGTAAATGTCCATTTGATTTTCAGTACGCACAATGGACCAAAAACCTGATCCCGAACATAGTGGAGTACTATAGATGCAGACACCGACCGCTGGACTATCACACGACCAAGATTCTGACTGGACACAGGTGTTTCGGAACATACGTTAAAAGAATAGGAAAGGCAGACACAGACGACTGCATGTACTGCATCGATGGAGTAGAAGATAACCCGGCGCACACTTTTTTCGAGTGTGGAAGATGGGAGAGGATACGGCAGAGATCAGCAGCATTGATAGGAGCAGTATTAGAGGAGAATACGTTGATGGGGCTGATGATAAAGAACAAACAAAACTGGGAGGCAGTGAGAGGAATGGCTAGGGAAATTATGACGAGGAAGGAGATAGATGAGAAAGAGACACAGAGAGCAGACGGAAGAGGCAGACAACAATAATGATATGAGACGAAGGAACGAGACCGCCTACAGCTGCAAAGCATGTTACCCAAAACGATACCACAGTAGTAGGGGCGAGGGGGAGGTTTTAGCAGGTTAAAGCCCAGCACTACCGGCTCGTGATTGACAGAAAGCGACCGGTGTACATGAAGTATTTCCTCCCCTTGAAAAAATAATTGATTTTCGGTGGCGAAAGCCATGTTGTCTATCAATAATGATTCCTAAGCTTTCCACATATTTTATGAGCTCAATGTTGATGGATTTCTCCATCACTTTGGAGATGACCGATAACAGGGCAATTGGCCTATAGTTGTTGGGCAGGCTCTTGTTTCCTTTTCTGAAGATTGCTTGGACTCTAGCTATTTCAGCAAGATAGAAAAATACCCGACTTGTAGGAGATGGTAAATAGCTTGCAGAGAATCGGTGTCAATTCTGGTGCACACTTTTTGAGAATAATGGGTGGAATTCCATCAGGATCATTGGACTTATTCGTTTTGAGATCGAGCAGAATGCGTCTGATAGTGCGTTGACGAGAGACAATTTCGGCATTCGGCTTTCAACGGGTGGAATGTCTGGCGGCACCCTTCTCCTGGGTATTCAAGGTGGTCAACTTTACTTATCTATCACAGATTTCGAGATATCTCAATTTTTTTCAAAATAATAAACGCCGTTTTATTTCTCGAAAACATTATTTCCATCTCGCAAACCGTTCAAAATAAGAGCACGAACTCCTGATGTCCCATCGATGGTCCCATTTTGTATCATATGGGCGCGGGCGATTTTAAAATGTCGCAATGAAACATTTTCGAAAACTCAACTTCTTCACATGGCATCTACTAGTTTTTTACACCATATGAAAGAAAATTGAATTTGAGGATGCGTTACTCAAGCATTCCCTACCCAACTCAAACCTCCATCGAGTTATTCAATAAAAATCAAGAAATTCCTTATCTTGCCGAGAGAGCACCTATGTCAAAGATCACCCAACTATCCATATGCGAAATCTTTGATGCCTCCATTAATGCTCAATGGCTCAAAATTTGTTACCTTCAATAACACCACCTTATACAAGGAGAAATATGTATCGTTGATTTCCTGACTTCTATCGAATAACTCGATAGTAACTCATGCTCAAATTCAATTTCCTTTCTATGGTATTGAAAAATATAGTAGGTGCTCTTTGAAAATCGTCCGCGCCCATATGGTACGAAATGGCACCATCGATAGGAAATCATGAGCTAGCCTGGATTTCCAGTTAAACTACTACGGCGGTAATTATATTTAGAAAAATCACGATATCTCGAAAACTGTGATAGATACGTTGATATAAACCAGGTTATAATTTAGAATCGAACTGTTTGGAATAGTATATTATGTAACAAGTGTTATACACGTCCTCTTAGTAACGAGTATATAAAGCACGAGCGCAGCAGAAAGCGGAGCGAGTGTTTAAGACCGGACAGGACTCAAACGACTGAAGGTGTATTTGAAAAACTGTGCTGCCATGGTAATGTGTTTAAAAAATTGTATTGTCATTGTAACGTGTTCAATTTTTTGAACAAATCGCAGATCATCAATCCGTGATTAATCGATCATTTATCGTGGTACATATCCGTACCTAATCTATTTTAGATTAGAATTAGATTAGGTAGATTGGAAATGATTGATCATAACAGCATATCAATTTTTAGTCCAACTGCAAGTTGGAAAACTTCTAATGTGTGGCCTACGTAATTCACCCTGTATATGCTGCAACCCAGGCACGCACGATGTTCAACGAACATAATAGAAATTCTCTTTCGTGCGCCCAGAAGAATAAAATAATACTCGTTTCTTTTATTACCGCGTCAGTTTGAACTAGATTGTATACTAGCGATGAATCTTACCGTGCTGGAACAGCAGTTGGTGGTAATGAAGCACCACTATGAGTGAAGCGACTCACCACTGAAGTCTTTCATCAAGTTGTCAGACCTTTATTATTGGTGATACAAAAGAATAATTATGGAACATGAATTGTAAGTAGTGAATGTTATTTCCCACATTTTTGTACAAAGCAACTTTTTTCTAGTATGGTCCGATATCGAGATAACAGAAATGTTCTAAAAATGTTTGAAATCATGCCGGCAGTATTTCGACGTGGCAAAATGAATAAGTTGTTAACATCTCCGAACCCTTCCACAGTTTCTTTTCAATTCATCAGTGCCACTAAACGACTCCACCATTGCAGTATTTCATCAAGTTGTCAGACCTTTGTTATTGGTCGTACAAAAATGCTTACGAAGACAATTTCCTTCATTTTTGTATATAACAATTCTCCTCCTAGGATAAGCCAATATTGAGAAATTTCGAGACAACAGAATTGTTCACAAAAAAAATTACGTCGTTGTACCTCCCTATGAAATCTTTCAGTTGAATAAGTTTAGTGTGATGTAATGAGGATGTCCAGGACGTCCAGGAAGTACAAATAACATTCAATAAATACTAGCTACAGTAATATGGATGTAATGTCAACATTTTAAAACAATCCAAGGGTATAGTGGGTATACTATACTAGAGATTGTTGAATGTTTTGAAATTGGGCGATCACCGCTTCACAGGTGATGGGCTCCTTGATTTTATAAAGAATGGGGCAAGACCATAAGGTCCTCTAGTGCTTTAGGAATACAGGGTGTTGAAGTTGAAAAATTGTGTTCTCGGAATAACAGCTCATTTTGTTATTTCAGTATATGACTACCTCATCAAAAACAATTTTTGACTATGAAGTTATTTCTATCATCCAATCCAGTGACGCGCCACAGGAGGTTCTGGTAGCTTTTACGTCCATATTTCTTACGCCACTGATGATATTACATCATTTATAACTTATAAAAACTCCCTGTTCAATATTGTTGAAAAAAAAAACGATTTCCTAATTGATCTGAAATGAACAGTTTTCAAGATACGAAAATGCAGGTTTGCATGTCATTTTTTCAGTTGTAGGCAATTAAAAGTGTTTCATTAATTTTTCTGCATAAATTAAATAATTTTATTCAGCCACTGGATGAAATTTGAGACGAATAATCTGCTATCGAAGATTAAAAAAATAAAAAGGAAAATGCCTATGTCAAGATTTTATTCAAGGTCTAATAATATATCGAATAAACCTGTTATAAGCATAATTAAAGGTTGTATTTTTTAATTAAACGGAACATGGAATTCGATGATTTGAAAACACTCCCAATTTCATCACTATCGTAGGAAATATGGGGATTTGGGCCCTGGGATCCTCAGTTGTTGCGAAAAACGATGTTTATTTTAGAACTTCAGCGCCTTTTATCTCGTGAACTGAGCATTTGAGGACCTAACGTGCCTGCCTTATTCGTCATCATATCACGAGGTCTATCACATGTGAAGCGTAAATGGCGAATTTTTAACAGGAAAATATTATATTTATGTTATCGTTACTATATTCAATTGGTATTTGAGTAACCAGAGATGGCACAATTAGGCAATTTCACCATCTTTTCTTAGAGTGTTCACAAATCACTTTCATTCATTTCAAATTGAAATTTGGAATAGGCAATGACACAGTGATAGACTCACAGTGACATCATGTGTTGGATTCCTGAGTAGCACACAATTTCTGCCATGATTTAAGTTTGTATTGACCAGGTAGAACCCAGTAGGAACAGAAGTGTAGCCATATATTTTCAAGTTCTATAAATGGAAGTAAGAACAAAACAAAAATAATTCCAGAGTAACATGCAACCAATGTCGCATTCAATTTTCCTTAGATAACTAATTGTTAGTCAATCGAAAATGAGAAAAACTATGAGTGCACAGATTGAACCAAAACATGCCAATTTCAATACATCTACTACAGACCAAATGAAAGTTTGTATTGTGTCACCTTACTGGTGTTAGTGAAAGCTCTAAACAAACCATTGTTAGTCATAATTACTACTATTGTAAAAACCCTTACACATTATACAAGTGTTGCGAATCCTTGTGACGTTGTTTCTCCTTGACCACGTTTACGACCGTATTGTCCAATAAAGGACCCATCTTCATTCATACCCTCTACAGAAATTAAAACATAAAAAATAAGAAAAACCATATAAATAAATAAAAAAATAAAACAGCCGCCCAATTGTTCAATGCCTTAGTCTTAATAATTGAGAGTTCTACACATAACAAGTCCCTTATTACTCGATCATATCAGGAAATCGAATGAAAACTATTTCTTAGCATATTTAGACTTAAGACCTTATGACACGGACCCGTTTTTCACTTATCGAATGGATCATTATTGAACACAATAAAACATTCAGAATAATCTGAATCATTTTCTGTGGCAAAATTCTGTGCTGCGTGACATGACATAAGATCACAGATAAGATATTGTGACAAGGGGCATGCGCATGTTATGAAATAATATAATATGCACACACATGCCGGTTGTGCGTGTATAGTAACCTCAAAATATATTTTTGGAAGAAGATATTCAAAATTGAAGAATGGTATAAGTAATAGTTTCTCTTACAAAATATCCGTCAGCAGTTCTGCAAAAGTGGGTGCTATGCTCAGCATTTTTATTTAAAAAAATCGGAATGGAAAAATATTACAAAATTGTCTCGTGAATCGCTCCAAAGAAAACACCCGTCGGCTAGGAGTTCTGAACATGGTACAAAATGAACACCTTCATGGAAACCCTGGATCATATAAGTATCTACAAGTTTCATAAGAATGAATAATGATCAGTTCACTTTTGTTCTGGAAAAATAAACTAAAAAAGATACAAATATGCGAGAATCTATTTCACCAGAAATGAGGTAGGTACTCAATCCACATTTCATCTTTGTCAAAGTATGTCAAAGCGTCTACTCAAACGTTTCTGGGTGTTTGATTGCAAACGAGATTGCAAACAGACAGGGATATTTTTGATATTCTTCAATTAAAGCACCAACATATGCTCCGAAGACCAAACCATTATAGAACTGATGTTATCTCAATGTCAGATAACAGTAAAATGAATCAGTGGACATATATTATTTGTAATTTATATTACATCAATCACCTTTTCAAAATACCAACAGAGTGACATTACTTTAACCTCAAAAAATTGTTTCTCACTTCAAAACAAAACAAACAATTCGAAGGTTAAATAACGGCGTTATGCGCAAGCGCTTCAACATAAAATGAATGAAAAACATGTTCTAATTTTCATCCAATTTTGCAGTCAGACTCTGTTTCTGTAATACACGGTGCAGTAAATTCTGAGTAGAAATTCTCATTTAGAAAATGGACGAAAAACTGGCCCGTGTCATACGGACTTACGTGCTGCACCAAAATTCATTGAAGAATGTTTGATGGAAGCATCAATTTGTGTTCTGCTGAAAAAATTTATCACAAAAGTATTCATGCCTAATTGAGGTAGATCCAAAAGAGCAATAGAAAAGGCATATCAAACAAATTTGATCTTGAAAATGCTGAATTGCGCTAAAAAATAGTATTCACACAAGCTGGACGTAATCCACTGATAAAGTGATAAATATCAACATGGAAAAAAATATTCAATATTGTCGAATAATCTGCATTTTTTTTCCAAAAAAATTGACTTATAACATATGCTTTAGGTTAGGACTAGTTTTGTTTTACAAATCTTGTAACTGACGAATTTTTAAAACATACATACATAAACTTCTAGATACTTGCATTACTTCGAGAGCTTCATAGAGAATTTTAAAATTTCAGAAATTTTTTAAAAACAGCTTAATACCTTGAAATCTTATATATATATATATAATATTTTCGTAATTCATTATAGAAAATTTTAAAAAATTGTACTAAACTTGTGTGTGGAAAATTTTTGAAAAACCCTATTTAATTTGTTCTGAAGGGTTGACGTATTTCCGAGTCCCAATGAAAAACCCTGCATGATGGAGCTGAAAATTTCAAATGAAATGGTGTCAATCATACCTGTGTCGCCATCTCCATACTCGGCCATCGAGTCTGTGTCACTTTCTGGTCCAAGTTTTGGTTCACTACCCATCGAAGCTCGTCCGTGAGATTTATTGTCCAAACTGAAATCATAGCAATTGTCACGAACATTTTGACAGAAAATCGTATACATGCTGTTATTTAAGTATCTGTCCAAACTTCAAAGGGTGATTATTCGGGTGATTCTGAGACGAAAAAATCATATAAACATAGGTCTAGAAATGCTTCGTTTTCAAAGTTTCAATAAAAAATGTTTTTGTTTTATTAAGCACTCAAAATTCGGTCTTTCAAATTTAATGAAACTTGGCGATTTTGTTAATAGTATCAAGAAGCTTTATTTGGTGTTATTGAATTCGAAATGATTATTCCATTGGCGTCCAGTTTTTTAAGTTCATTGTACCACCTGATGAAACTACTGGGTTACCTTTTCGATATTTTTATCAGATTAAACAATTCAAAATACAACTGTCTTGTTCCCTATCAAATTTTTGTATATCACTTAATTAGTTTCTGAGCAAATAATGGAAAATGTATGTGTCTCCAAATTCAAGGTAGGTGCCCCTCAGAATACCCCTAAATGAGTATTATTCTGGAATTTTGGGTTATCATGAAAACAACAATAAATACTTCCAACTTCAACACCCTGTGCCTTGAAAACAAAGCATTCAGGACCTATGTTTATGTGAACTGTTCGTTTTAAAATCACCCAAATAATCGCCCCTTGAACTTTGGCCGGATACTCAAATAACAGCGTATATTATAACAAAATATCGAATTCAGGTTTTTTTTTCATTGTTGAAAATGAGTAAGTTGAGGCTAGGCTGGTACCACAGAGAGATCCAAAAGTAACATATTCAGTCAAATATGGTTGATGAATATTGTAGGATAGAATAAAAACTTCGGTCGATAGCTTTTTTGACCATCGTTGTTCAATAAAGTACTACTATTATTATTATTACTTATACAGGTTGTCACATCACAAATAAATTTGCCAATCCTATGTTTACTCAAACGTGAATCACTCTGTGTCTCAAAGAAAGCATCTTGAGAAAATACAATCAACCTATAAGTACAAGGTATCTACAGAAAGGTGAGTTATTCAATTTCTGCATTACTTTGAAATAACCACCATGTACATTTTTTATCTTCTTCCAGAATCCAATGAATTGATGTAAAGAACTCATCTTAGAGTAATATATTGCAAGAGAAACAAGATGAGGTTGTTGAATTGAAATTTCAGATTATATTGGTCACTCACAGACATAACCTACAATTTAGAAAGCTAATACATTTACCAGATCGAACTGGACTTCTGAAATTGTCATATACAGGCTGATTTTAAAATGAGTGCATATATTCAAGAGAGAGTCTAACAAAAATTACTAAAATATTTGATTTTTCCTAAGTCTTCACATTAACGAAATTGAACATAAAATGCTTCGAAATTCGAGTACGCCACTGGGAAGCAAGTGAAATCTGCGGAATCCCAGGGAATCGCCAATTCGTCATTCACTAACGTCAAAACAAGACAGTGATGCCAGATTGTTTCAGAGACGAATATCCTGATAAAAATTTGTCACAGAATGAATATGAATTGGAATAGGTTATGGAAACTAATAGAGGTGAATGTAATATGTACAGGAGCCTTATTTATTAAAGTTTACTGAGAGAACTGTGGGGTGATTATCTCCATGGATCACGAGAGACGGAGAGAAACATGAGGGGAATGATAGAACGTCCCCGTTCCTTCAATTCGAAAATAAGGCCCCAGCGGGTAGATACAAAATTAGCAGACAATAAATAGGTACACAACATACACAATCGAAAATCGACTCACCTAGTAGATTTTCTCATACCTCCCGAGAGCAAACAAATACTAATATCGAGTCCATTCCAGACTAATATCGTCCTGTGTTCTTGTTGGTTCATATTCGCACTTAAACCATCGAAAACGACTCGACGACGACATATCCTTCCTGGCAATCTCACATTGAAAATCGCGATCACGACCATATCACGATTATCACGACAAGACACAACATCCAATTATTTTATTTTTTATTTTACGTTTACAATTATTTTACAAACCAACCACACAAACAAAACTATCATCATATGATCTGTCAACATCATTTCTCAGAACAGTAGTATCTGTGACCATAGATTTCCTCTTTGCTGTGACCTTTGACAGTACTAACTAGGATTGTTCGCGTTCAGAAAATAAACAATCCGAAACCGTCAGAAGCATGCACAAGTCCACAGAACCGAAAAAACATACAGTTCTGTGAAACTGCGCATGCTTCTGACCGTTTCGGACGCAAGAATTCAGATGACCATGAATTACTAATAGGTGATTTCTAAGGATCAATCAGAAACAGCAAAGTAGCGCCTGCGTGGTTGTGATTCATCCTGATTGGACACAGCTGATTGGATTTGTGAGATTAGTGTATAGTGAGGAAGTATCATTTCATTGAATTAAACTAATAGATGTTTTTTCCAAATTAGTTTTTTATGAAAATGGTAGTTTCATTTAAAGATATGATCCTTTCTCACTAATACATTAATCTCAATCACCTGTGCCCAATCAGGATGAATCGCAACCACGCAGGCACTACTTTGCTGTTTCTGATTGGTCCGTAAAAGTCGCCTATTAGTAATTCATGGTCATCTGGATTCTTGCTGGTAGCACACCATAAGAACAATCAAAACAAAGATCCTTTCTTGACAGTTTGTTGTTCTGAGAATGTATGTTATTTTGGAAAACGTCAAAACGTGATACTAGTAAATGTAAAGTTTTGTTTCTGACAATTTGCTTGGAATGTGACGATGCATTTCTCAAACATTGAGCTGAATGATATGGTTCTTATATCGGGTCGTTATTGTGCGGGGCCCATGAGACTCCTCGAAGGACACGAAATTGTAACGATGCAAGGAGGTGGAAGGAAGGGTCTGAAGGATTTTTCAGTAAAAGAACTTCCAACCGTGAGGTGTTAAGTTATACGCTATTCGAGCTTATGTGTAGAAATCTTGGGTGAGTCCATTTTAAAGTTTTTGTATTATCTTTCTGAAATTCAAGACCAGGGTTAACTTCTTCCCCATGTACATTTTCTCGATTATACATTTTATTTAATATCTCCTAATTTTCATGTAGAGTGGCAACGTCGCTTCGTTCATCACGGTCGACTGCGGATCGCAAACGATAGTTGTGACAGAAGTAGAAATCTGGGCGGAAAAAGGGTATTTTGCCCCAAATCCATTTTGATCCTTATAATATTTTTAATAGTGCTATTCGGTAGTATACCTCAAGCTTTCTTAGTGTTTAAAATATATGCACTTATTTTAAAATCAGCCTGTATATATATATATATCTTACTCATTCTTACTCATGTTTTTTAATACCAAGTCGCGGAAGCGATTTCAGACGAGCAATTCAAATGAGATTTTCAGATTGAGATATGACATATAGCGGTCAAGATAGTATATGTCGGCGAGACACTCCGTACTTTCAATAAAAAATACTCACGGTTGGGAATATTCGTGGAATCCTCCTTCATCAGGATAATCGTGCCTGCCATTGGCCTGCTCTCGTTCGTGGACGGCATACTTGCCTCCCCGATTCCTTTTGAAGATGCAAACGATAATGAGAACAAGCAGCAAGAATGCGATGGCCAGCATCATACCGATGAACCATCCTGCAGTCGCCACATTCTCCTTGGCCCTAATAATGGGTCCGTCAATGTCATAAGTGCTAACCTCCTGTGGATCGCTGCTCTCGTAGAAAGTGCCGTCTACGGATACTACGATGAATTCATAGACAGTAGCAGCATCTAAGCCGGGGACGATGAGGAAATCTTCGTTCTTCTCCTCCTTGCGATTCAGGTAATCCGATTCGCCCTTCTTCCTGTATTTGGCGTAGAAGTGGGAACCCGGTTTGCCGTCTTCGCTCGGTATCCAGCGAATTTTCACCGAGGTGGGCGGACCAGGTTTTACGATTTCCCAATCGAAGCTCGGCTTCGAAGGTTTGTGGAATCCCAGAGGTTTGGTTTGCCGCTCGATGAAGAATCTCTTCGACTCGCCAGCATTCGTGGTGGCACTGATGTATAAGCGGTATTTAGTTCCGGCTGCGAGGCCCCCGAGTTTGGCACGTTTGATTTCAGGGTTGGTGATCTGGGGATTTCTAGGAATGGGCTGGTAGACTTTCATTGTACTATCAACTTGTGCGTAATAGATATTGTAGCCGGTAAGTATCCCATTCGGCTTATCCGGTTTCTCCCATTTGAGCAGGAAAGCAGATGACCCTAGAGGAACAGCTTCGAGGACTTCCATTTCACCAGGAATTCCTTCTGGCGTATCAAATGTCAAGATTTCACTTGGAGGGCCATTGTATTTTTCGTTGAATACGTACACTTGTGCAAAGTTTTTAGTGTATGGATCGAAGTTTGTGACCAAAGCTTTGGAATTACCACCTTGTACCTGTATTTCTTTGGAGATGAGTGATGTTTCACTCCACGTCTTGATTTTGTAACCCTTGAAATGGCCCCTCACCGAGCTCAGAGGAACTGGATCCCAGCTCAATAATGCAGTCGTAGGACCTTGTATGGTCAACAAAGTGAAGTTTGTTGGTGCTTTTTCAGGCTCACTTTCTCCAGAATAACCTATAACTTCTGGAGGAGAAACGTTAGCTTCACCAAAGTCGTTAACAGCAGCAACTTTGATTCTATACTGTTCAAAAGATGTCCTATTTGTAATGACCAATCTATCTTGAGTGTAGTCGAGGATTTCTTGATATTTGTAATCCCTGCCAGGGATGTCTCTCTTCCAGTAAACACGGTATTTGAAACCAGGGGCGTTATGCTCAATTTGAGGCATTGGAGTCCAAGTAATAACCAAGTTATCTGGTCTGTCACCTTCACCTTTCACGTTATCAGGATTTTTGTGGGGTACCTGTAAATGTATTATATTGTTTATATTTCTGAGCATAATGCAGTATCTCAGTGTTCATTATTTTAGTCAAAAATTTGGTAAATTACGATATAGTAATGATTTATGGGATCGTACATAGAAATACATTCTAATGAATGAGATTATTTGAAAGAAAAAGACAAAGGTACTCATCTACTGTGTTCACCTTGATATATCTTGAAAAAGATGTTCTATAAATTCATTTTTTACTGCAATTCAAATTCGCAATAGACATTATTTTCTGCGTCCAAGCAATGAACTAAATAAATTGAGTATTTCTAAAGGAGAAATTATAACTAACTAGTTCTCTTATTTCTTTGATTCACCTTTAATATATTCTTCAACGTAATATAAAAAAAGTATAAATATTAATATTATAAAATATAGAAAAATCTAAATATTTTGTATTCTACCTATGTTCGAAATGCGACAATGTAGACTGGAGGGCAACATATGAAAAGTAAACCAGCTCATTCAGAGTTCTGTTATGAATCTCATCATTAATTTTTGAAATGAAGTTACTTTGAAATCGCGAAAGCAATAGTACGTCACGCGTTCGGAATCTGTGGACTATTGTTGAAAATGAGTTATTCATCAAATGTATTGACAAATTTGTGAATAGTTAGGATCTTTTGTTTTGGGTAATGATGCATCGTCCGACGTTTCAGATAACATTTTTTGCATTTTCTCATTTTCTGATCAATTTTTTTCATTAAATTATTACGTAGCTGAAATTATTTATTTCTTAAGTGAAAACCTAATGAAAGAAAAAGTTGTTGATAATTTCATATAACCTGAACGTTGAAATTCAAACCTGACTAAACAGGCGCTACTGTGAAAAGTTGACCGTTTTTTACGAATCAAAAGAATTGTGAACAATAAGTCATAGTACATTTGTCAAATGTCACTGTATATACACTGTGTCCGAAGGATTTCCTACTGGAAATGATGTAATCGGTTTGATTAAATGAGGAAAAAGGTACACAACAAAAGGGAAATTCACATATGGGTAAAGAATTTAAAAAAATCATTATTGATTTTCAAAATAATATTGAAGAACTCAATTTCTCGATTTGTACAATTATATTGTTTTGTGTTTGCTCACAGCCAGACCAAGAAGATAGTTAAGAACATTTCTTTGAAGCAACTTTTATCTTCATGAAAATGACAGATTCACCGATCTACGTTTCATTGTGGATTAATCATTATCAACTGAAGGCGACTAAAACATATCCGAAGCGTCTTCAAACCGTCAAACAAGATGAATTATTAAAAAAATTAATCGAGGACGAATCTCTATGGTCCCATCCCAACCCAAACCGCACCTATTACCATTTTTGATATTTCCACAACCCAGTGTATTAGGAAAGAGTGATTAATGATTTCTGTCAACCCATAGTATTACATCAGATCACACTAAACATGACGAAAAATGTTCTTCAACTTACCTCGGGAGAGGTTGAACAGACGTCAGAATGGGAGGAAGGCGACGACTTCCCGATTTTATTGACAGCAATAACACGGAACGTGTAGTTTGCCCATGGACTCATAGGGACATTGTAAGTCATATCTGCTGAAGGAACGTGGTCGAAGGCATCTTTCCATTCGTCAGGGGTGAAGCTAGTGTTATACTGAATGATGTAGTAAGAAATCGGGGCGCGATTGTCGCCCATGGGCGTCCAACTTATCGTAGCATCTTTGGTGTGACAGTCCACACCAATCATTCTAGGCGAGTTCGGCACATCCTGGACGGTAAGCTGCGCCTTGGCAGAAGCTTCATCTAGCTCTGTTTTAGCTAGACAAGTGTATGTACCAGAATCCAACTCTATGGTCTTTGTGATGGTCAAAGAGTAATCGGAGGATTTGACGAATCGCGGTTCACCCTCAAAATCGATTTGCTGGTCATTCTTCAACCACAAAATTTCCAAGTCGAGAGATTCGTCAGCGACTGCATTACAACGAAATGTAGCTGAAGTCCTTGCTTCGACCTCATAATCCTCAGGTCCATCAGTTATATAAGTATGAGCTATAACAATATTCGAGACGATTTTATTTCAACTGGACATTGTTGTCGGTACCTACCTTTGATATCCAGTTTGGCACTTGCGCTTGTGTTCCCCAGTTTATTTTCCGCGTAACAGGTGTAGTTTCCCCTGTCATCGAATTGAACACCACTGATATGTAGATCACCATTTGACTGTATTTCGTATCTGCCACCAGTTAACTCCTTTCCATTATGGATCCACTTGACATTTGGCTTTGGAGCACCCAAAACTTTACATGTCATGTTGACATTCTGGTTGTCTACAGCTTGAGTATCTCTTGGAGCTTCAGTTATCTCAGGGGCCAATGCTAAGGAAGCCAGTTTTACCAAATAAACCACAAAAAGCGCTTTAGGATCTTACCTAGTACGTTAACGTACACATCTTTATAAACGTAACCTAAACTATTTGTCGCGTTACAGCCATAGTTGCCTGTATCATTCTTTTCCAGTCTTTCTATCACAATTTTGTTCGAGTATACTTTTCTTCTAGGGTTGTAAGGAGCTGCTTCAATGGGTTTTCCATTGTGAATCCATTTAATTGCAGGTTCAGGTACGCCTCCTGCCTCACAGGAGAATTCAATGGTTTCGTCTTCAGCAGCATTTACCCTTTCAGGTTCTTTGGTAAAGTAAGGTACAGCTGAAATGGAAACATTCTGGCTAATTCATTGTCATTTCACATTTGTATTTTCCTTGAGTGTCATCAATTTCATTTCGCTTCTAATTATTTCATCGCATTTCAATCAAGTTAATGTCATTTGATTAATTTGATTTTATTTTTTCAATTCTATCGCTACTTTATCATCAATTATTATATAATTTTATTTCATTTAGCCTTCATCATTTTATTTATAGAAGTCTTGCAGAAATTCAATCGAAATGCTGGTAAGAAATTTTGAAAAAAAATGCACAGATTTCTGCAGAATCTTCAATCAATTAAAACATATTTCTTGTTTACAGAGTGACCCGCTTGAATAATCGATAACTGAATTTGTCACAATATGGGATTCATGTCAATATTTCTCAATCCAATTCAGCATGACCATTTTATTTACCATATCTTTTTATTTGAAAGACTAAATTTGAGAATTATAATATTCCCATCACCAATAATGAAATCATCAAGTGTTATTATTATTATCATCATCATTTTATATTTAAATTTAACTCAATCCCAGTCACCTCTCTGTCGTCTCCGACGCCACGCAGGGTCAAGCTGGATATAATCCAATGGCTATTCTACACAGCCCCTGGGGTGAGCGATCACTGAAACAGTGTGCTCTGAGTAATCGCAACGATCTAAGGATGACGCCCTTCTGCATCTCACCAGCTAAAATGTGTGCCGGCATCACGGTTGTGTGCCACCTAGGTAGCCAGGATGACCAGTTCCACAGAATTGTCTGGTAGAGCCTTTGGAGTTCGAAGAGAAGATCTCGAAATATAGTCAGTTTTTCCTTCTTCAAAACGATATTCAGTTTGGCTGGCGCTGAAAACTCAATCACGAACATCGCTTTGGTTTGAGGGTCGAGGAGAACTACATCAGGCTTGGTAGCCTGTATTTGCCTGGCGATGGGGGATGAGAAATTGAATTGTATTCGGCACCTCTCATACGATTGACTCATCTGATCCTGATGGAGATGCTTACTAAGGATGGCGCCGCCAGACAATTGAATGGACAGGAGACCCGAAGGACCACCGACCAGTCACAACAAAGCATAATCAATATTAGAGGTCAGTGGTGTATTATCACATCATGTTTGAGGAAACTTTAATACGTTTCATCAACAAATTTGAACGTTGTTTCGACGTCGGTAAATGTAAGTAATATGACGTCTAAGGACTGTGACTTATCCACGTCATTTATCAGGTCATATGACGCAGACTCCTGACGTCACCTTGGTCATTCAACTGACGTAAAAAGTCGTCACTGAAACGTCATCTGGTTGGCTGGGAACTGACTCAATATCCTTCGGAGCATAAGGCAGCACTGGAGCCTCGTCTATTTCGTACGAGTGCCTCAAATAATGTTTTAGTACTCACAATGACGCACCGTGTCTATGGATATAGGCCGAGAATGCATACACCATGCAAGAAGGGAGCCGGTGCATGCAGGTCTTGGGCGCCTTGCGTCAGGCCCTGCAATTTGTTTCAGGGACCTATCTGTATACCCATGACACGGCTACGGTAGTCGAGTGTTGAAGACCCAATCCTGACATGCCATGATGAATCACTGTTGTCAATTTAAGCCCGCCCGACAGTAGGAACGCAAAAGTGAGATCCTTGGATACCCTCCGGTCTTCAATGGTCTTGAAGGAGACCGAGTGCATGGATTTATCCATATGAAGCTGCAGAGGTTTTCTCCGACCGTGCTCCAGCTCAGTCACTGAGTCCTGAACCTCGCGCTCGGAGTCAATTCATCGGCTGCTCGACGTGCTGCCCTAAATAAGAAATGCTCCTATTCCTGCCTTCTCCTGGTTTCCAACCATTTACAGGAGGAGATCCAAACTTCTGATGACTCTGCAGGCGCCATCCAGAACCATTCTGTTATTGAGATACTCAAAGCTCAAGAGTCCACGCCCACCCAGGTATGTATGACCCTGTATAACCGCCGTATATTATTATTATTAATAATATCAATATTATTATTATTATCATCTTTTTTTTTTAGTTAAATCGGCCGTTACTTGATGGAAATCCATAGTGAATATAAAGAACTTCACAAACGATAAGATGTCCACAAAAGTTCTTGATAACACAACATGTTTCGCTAACACAGTAGCTTCTTCAAGTGAAATACTCGTACAATAAACTAAAATTACATTGACTTGCTTTTGTTAAAATTATTATTATCATTATTATTATCATTATTATTATCATTATTATTATCATTATTATCATCATTATTATTATCATTATTATCATCATTATTATTATCATTATTATCATCATTATTATTATCATTATTATCATCATTATTATCATCATTATTATTATTTGTATTATTAATTCGTTTCTGCCTTCTACAATAACACACAAGGATAAACAGATGTAGAAAAATGCATGAAATTGATAATAATTTCCTCGGTCTCATCAACCCTTTCCTTACCTAATACATTCAAGTTGATCGAATATGATTTAGCTTCTCCCACTCCATTACTAACTTCACAAGTATACGAGCCTTGATCTTCAAAATCAACCACCTTGATTATTAGCGACTTTCCATAATTTCCTTGTGTTATTCGGTCCGAACTTTGTACTAACTTCCCACCTTTTTTCCAAACTGTTTGAGGAAGTGGTCTAAAATATATATACTTATGTTGGCATTCATCAAGTGAACTGCTAGGTATATATGAACCAACTTTCGAAGCTATATGCATACAAATGTACATGTTCAATTAGATTTTTTATGTACAAAAACCACATAACTTTTTCCTAGACATTTTTTTCATCTAAAATTACATACTCAGTATCAAATTGAATTGTGAATATTGGAATATTTTGCGAAAATTAATATAATGATACAAATATTTTGCATTTAAAAATTTCCAGATCTGCGAATCACAGATTATTCTAAAATATATTTATCATTTATCAAGATTATTCCAAAATATGTATTATAAATCAATCATCAATACTAATCTTTGAGGATAGTTTTTTTTTCACCACTAGTTTTAGAACCTACCATTTGATACTTATCTTGAAGCTTGAATTGGTATTTCTCATTTCGAATTCAACAAAACAAAGTGGGTATTAATATTCAGGTCAACAATGGCATTCGCGAGATTATTAATAATAATCATACGTTCACGAGAGAGCACATTACATAGATACTTAATGCATGTGTTCGAACTGATGTTCCCTTCTCATTTTAAACTGGCGCTTGAGTACAAATCAATGGTGATAGCTACAGCATAATAAAATTGCAAAATACTTACGTTCCACCGAAAATACAATACAATTCTGCTCTCTTCCCCCTGTAAGCAACTTCATTTTTTCTGGTAACATATTGCAAAACGGGTTCGTGTTTATTCTGATAACCAGACACTCCAGATGAAACCACATTTAACAGCACTCTATTGCCATATTTGTATTCGTATTTAGTGGGTGAGGTAGCTGCACAGGCATACATGAAATTATCGGTAACATCGGCCTTAGTCAAATTTGAGAACCACAAGTTCCCTTCCGGATCCAAAGTCATTCGAGAACTATTAATCGTTTTGAAGCCACCATTCGTATAGAAGTACATCCAGTGGACGATGGGTTTTGGCCAACCATCCGGCGGTTGGCAAGTCAGTTTGAATGGTTCGCCCTCGTTTCCAGTTTGCGTCAGCGGCTGGCTAGCTTTGAAAGAGTTCAGTTCCGCTTTACGCATGAACACGGAGTTGGAAGTGGCCACGCCATATTGATTCTCGGCGAAGCATTGGTATTGTCCGAGATCGACATCGGACGGTTTCGTAATCGACAGGGTACCTCTGCCAGTCTGTTGAGATATCCTGTCATCGTAAGTCTGCCAAGCAAATGGTTTCCCATTCTTTATCCAATAGTATCTGCAATTCGCAATTGATGAAAACTAAATTATTTCTTGAAGCAGCCTTTTCCGATCTGAGATAATTTATATGCAGAATATTACATCTGTTTCAAACAATGGAATCTTGAATAAAATATGAAAGGAAAGAAGAAACTCTCAAGAGTGGGATACTTCAAATCAGGTTCTAGGACTGATTCCCCTATGCCATGCTAATAGTTTCGTGTCAATATTGAGGATAATAATCTTTATAATCAATCAAAAAAGAACTTGAAAAACTACGAAATAATTCATCCTATAACTGAATGTTTCCTGTATTGAAATATAATATTCCTGAAAAATAATCAGATTGTACTACTCATATCAATTCTTGAGATATTTTTCTCTATTTGCCGATCGAATAATGGCTTAGATATAATCCATCTCAAATCAACAACACAAAATAACCCCAATATCATCATTGACTGGTTCAGAGCTGATGAGCATTATGAAGTTATGATTAACTTGAGAAAGCATTAAATATGACTTTCCATCCGAATACACAAATTGAACCAACACAGACTTCGATGATAAACAGATTCGTACACCGATTTTTAAATTCGAGATTTCTAGTTTTTATAATGGACGAGAAACTATACTCGATATTTCATATATCCCATATAAACGGTAAATTGACAAACAAAATCTAGGCAAGTGGACTAATTTTTTTTTTTAATAGAATCATCATTCAACTATTTTTCAATTCCATTTTTTTTCAGTCGATTAAGGTCCTAAAATCATCAATAATGCGGCGGTAATTTTCAAACGGCTAAAAATTTACCTCCAATAACAACCGACGTCACGGTTTGGAAGTAGGGGCAGGCGAAAGCACAGTTGCCATAATATGATGAAATACGATTAGGAACTTTAGAAATATCATTCAGTCAATAATTCGTGGATTCTCAATTATGTATTGGTAATATTGTTAATCAACTTATTAACTATAAAAAATCCATTGCTTATGATGAATTTATGTTAGTAATAATTATATCAATTCCTATCAATTAACACTAGAGGACATTCGGTACTCTAAACGTGACAACACAGGATTGTGGGCGTTGTCTTGTCAGTTCTCAGCATTCAGCACAGCATTCCCAAGTCCCTAGCCGCAACATTAACAAGATGTTTTGTTTATTTATTTATTTATTTATTTATTTACCATTTTAGGTTGCTAACAGAACAAAGTTCCAAAAAACAGCATCCACTATGTAAGAATTATTCTAAGTTATTTCTACAATTATACATAAATAAAGGTTTCTTATCGATATAAAATTATCTGGCAATAATCAAATGTGATTTAAAAAATATGGTATGAAGATGTTTTTATGTTAATAATATAGTAAAAATTGTGGGATATAATGGAATTATTATGGAATATAAGAAATATTTCAGCTGATTGTTCGAAAAGGAGAAGAAGAAGTTCTGACACCATATTCTTTTATTTTCATGACAATTATTTACCGGAAGAAAAACATTTTCAAAAAAATGTTCAATAAATATTTTGATGAAATTCAATTACTCTGATGTGAATGGATATCCCTGGATGTCCCAATCATGTCCTCGTACCGCGGGACAAAAATGGAACGTGTTGTTAGGGACTAAAGTTATGAATTACATCTGGCAACAGCGCATTATCCCTCGAGCTAGACTTACGGTGCGTTCGGGGAGTTCGCTCACGCGCTATCAGCTCTGCGCTACAAAATCCGTTCGGGGAGGCTTTCAGCAATCTGCGCTACGGAGCTGCCCGAACGCCAAAAGCCGCAAAAGAGTTGAATGCATTCGCGATGACAGAAGACAATAAACGTCAAGTTTTTTCAATTTGTCTAGACTTAATTATTAGAGAATGTTGTCAAGATGTTGATTTCGAATCGCATTCTAGGTATATTAATATTTATAGAGTTGATGATCCATCAAGTTTTTCTGGGCAGTATTGATGTATTATTGTTATAGAATGAGCCGAGAGACTTTGCCTTTGTGAGAGAGAGACTACTGTTGAGACATGTGTGAGAGGAATGAAAGAAAAATAAAGATGTTTTATTCTCAGGAAAATGTTTTATCAACTTGATCCATAACTCAGTAAGGAAATTAGGTAAATAAACAATAGTATATTGTTCAACGAGCACGGAATGATAGTGATTTCCTACGAGAATGAAGTTTGCAGGATGAGCCATAGGCAATCATTCGAGTAGGGAATTAGCATTCCGTTCAAGTTATACACTATAATTTTTCTACGGCTATAATAGATAACAGCGATATTTTCGATTTCTTCGTCTTGTAGCTATTTGATTTCCTGTAAAGTAATGCTCATCTATTAGACAGAGCTGTCATTGCTCTGAGCGATGAGATTTTTTAGAAATAATAACACAATGGAGTCATTGTGATATCAGATACGGAAATAAAATTGATGACATACAAAGTACCACATTGATGTATCGAACACAGTAAAACAAGTGCAATCTTGTGTTATAGCCGTAGAAAAATATTGTTCCCCATGCCGTCTTTTAAGTTCATTATTACGGAATGGGTACGGAGAGCCCTTGTTCAACAGCTTGAACTCTTCTTGGACGAACGTAGAGCCGTCAGAAAATTTCAGTTAGATTACAGGTTATGTTTTTGTTTAACTGCTTCAGCCGTTCGGGGGTTATAGAGCGCCGAAAGCATCCCGTGCTTTACCTCTCCAGAATAGCGCCGTGAGCGCGAAGTAATGACGTCAAACGGTATCGATAGTGACGTCACCGAGTGTGACGAAGTGCCACGAGCGCTCTCCCCGAACGGCTATAGCACGTTATGAGCGCTAGAAGAGTGCTCCTCGAACGCAGAGTTATTACATCAACTTGCACCCCACCAACGATCCAAAGAATGAACACAAATAAAATAAATAAGCCTCTCGGGCCAGTTCTATAATCGGCACAAACAGAAGAAGCAATGGTGAATAGGAATGTCTAGTGACTTTATAAAAAGAGTGGGGACAATAGTGATGCACCTGTCGATTTGTCAGACCTCCAGTATGGAGTGCATCAGCCTGTCTTGTTTTCTCCATTCAGTTCTACGCATTCTATTTCACTTTGTTAACGCTTTGTCACTGTTTCTCGCTCATTTGACACAAAAAATCCAACATCCAGACATGAAACTATATACGTCGAGACCTCCTATTAGAATCTCCAACATTCAGACATGAAACTATATACGTCGATACCTCCTATTAGAATCCGTCTTTTGAGACTAAGTCTCAGATCATTTAGATGATGAAATTGTAAAAGTCGCATGGTATATGATATGATAGTGGCGGCTACGAAGAGTTGTATAACGGCTTACTCATCCCGAAATGCGAGGAAGGATGATTAGATATAGGGATTATTAGTCAGTCTCTGCCTGATCACGACGGTGACAAGAGTTTTTGTACAATTCATATTGTCAGCGTATAGTGGTGATTGTGTTCGTGTTTGTCTTCTATATCTTGAATAAAGTTCAATAGTGTCAGAGTCATTATTCGTCCAGTGATATTCTTCACAGAAAGCAGCGGCGGGATTGGCCCTCGTGCACCATCATATAGTTCAAAGACAATTCGTGAATAGTTTCTAGTGTGAAATAGTATATTTCGAAGTGAATTATATCATCGTGATTGTTAGTGAAACAGGAGACCTGTAACGTGAAACAAAGCGCTATAAAATTCAAATATTCAATTAACGTATGAAAATCGACCTTTATGAAAGGTGGTCCACAGTGCTAGGTCAAGCTCGACCTCTAGTTTGACTTCAAGTTCCAGCTTGTCCAGCAGTGAGTACATTTATTATTATCAAGCGAAGTGAGTAAAGTTTTGGCTAGGACTGTCTATTGCCTAGAAAATGTTTGTTTCCTTTAGAAATATTGCTTCATCTTTTACCATACAGAGTTCCAATTTGTTTTCCATCGGGGATTCGTCGTATGATGATAGCCTCAATTCAGAACAGAACAATCGTCTGGTATATTTGCTAAATGAATTTCGATGCTGTTTTGCTCAAAATTCTAGTGAACTGGGCAAAACAGGCATCTCGAAGATGTAAATACATCTACACGACGATAGACCAGTCATTTATAGACCATATATCTTCTCTCACACACTGAATGAAAAATAGCTTCAAAGTGGAATAATATGAGCCCAATTCTATTAGTGAAAAAAAAATAGAATGGGAACAACGTATGTGTGTAGATTTAGAATAGAGCTTTGAACTCGAAGACAATGAAAGATCGGTTCCCACTTCCCCGTGTTGATGAATTTTTAGAGGAATTAAAGGATTGTAAGTATTCCACGAGCCTTTATCTTGCAAGGGGATATCACCAAATTCAAATGGAGGAATTTTCGATACCAAAGACGGCATTCGTTAAGCCGGATGGGCCCTATGAATATACGAGAATGCCTTTTGGATTAGCTTAAGTTCCTGCAGTCTTTCAAAGGACGATAAACAAGGTACTTGGGTACTTATGACATGATATCTTACTACCGGCAAAGAACTTCGATGATGGTTTGGGTAGCCTAAGAATCGTTCTCACATGAAGCTGGTCTAACCTGGCGTATATCGAAATGCCATTTTTTTATGGAAAAGATTGATTATCTAGTATCAGTAGAAATGGCATTACAACCCGGAAGTCGAACGACTGAAGCAGTTGTCGAATTTCCAGTACCTACTGATGTTCATACAGTGCGATAATTTCTAGGGTTGGCTATTTTAGGAAATACATAAAAAATTTCGCCACAATTGCGAAGTCTTTAACCAATTTAACGGAAAAGGACGTGAAGTTTACATGGGGTACAACGTACAGCATTCGAAACCCTCAAAGATACACTTGTGTCCAGACCTATTCTTCCTGTGTATGATCCGGATCACCAAGCAGAGTTCAATACAGATGATCGAAATGGGGCATTGGGGAAATCCTACTTCAACAGCAGAGAGATAGTTCTGTTAGACATGAACGGTTTTCGCCTTGGGAGGAATAGGACTAGTTCAATGCCACGCCTCTATAAAGCGATATTTGGTACTTCAGAGGAAGCAATGAAATTTTTGAAAAACAAGATGAAACTGAAGGGAACTGAATTGAAAAAAATTAAACTCAGATCTGATCTAACGCTGAATTAATCGGAACACCTAAAACAACTACGTGAAGAGCTGACAACAGAGTAAAGGTGAAAAAATCACAATAAAATACATTAACAAAATACCTACAATAACGGATTTATCAGACGACTCCCCAGGGCGCGAATACGTCCTGAGAGTGATAAGATCTGTGGATAAAACACTATCTCAACCTACTCAGATATAGTCATCATTGAACATATTTTTTTGGAACTGCAACGGATTTTCGAATCTCAAAGAGTTCTACGCTGATTATAATGAATATGATATCATCTGCATTTCGGGAACATCGATCCCGAGAGGAGACTCAAAGTCATTACCACAATAGTTCATAAAATGAACGAAAATGGTAGATAACGAGAGAAAAACAACTACGTTCCTGGCTATATGCCACGCATAACATTGTATTACATTCTCCTGAAATCTATGCAGTAATATTTGGCTTCTTCCTAGTTGAAAATACGCCAGTCGGGCAGCCAGCCACTCCCATTTCACCAGAAATGGAAGATTGGAGTGTTTCCTTCCTTGCTAGGTGACGTTCGACGTTCGCGTTCATTTCGCGGACGTTGAACGCCTCGTGAGGTATAAATGCTGAGATGCGTTTCTGTTGGGTCAGGTTCGCACCAGATCGGTCAAGAAGCTATCTGGGACAGCCCTGCACTGATGAGAGCCAACAGCTCGAAACCGGTCTACAGGTGGCCACGCGTTCCTGAACCACTTGAAAGAGCAGCTCGGCGTTACTGTTGAGGCCGATAGTGATTCATTATTTTACTGATGTTTTTATCCCGAACGTAGAGATATTTTCATGCAATAATGACGTTTATCAAAATATGCTTTCTTCTTCTTCTTCTTTTTCTGGCTTTATTGTTGGGAGGATTTACTAACGTTAGTCGGAAAGTTATTAGTTATTTCCAATTTCCACTCAATATTCAGTCTCAGTCATAGTTAACCGTTGAGAGTTCTTAATTAATATTATTGGAAAATATTAATAATTTTAATCATTCTAATGGTCATTCTAGATAGAAAAATATATTGCTGATTAGTTATTACTTATTTGATAACTTATCTGAAGGAGACTTCTACATCAGCCTAACAAATCTATTTTTTCACTTACTTAGGTGCCGGCTCTCCTATGGCCTCGCATTCGATATAAAATGGTTTGTCATTTTCCCCATTGGATTCTACTTGAAATAATACCTCATCGGTTGGTGGTTGTTTCACAATGTATGGTGGAGAAGGTACTGAAACATAAAATAGTCTCATCCTGACACTATGCTTCAATATTGACGAGGGCTCACCTTCTCGACATACTGTCCAACTAACATATAATGTTAGTAATAGGAAGCAGCATACACTGTATTGCATGTTTTATCGCCGTACAAACTATATCTGTAACAAAAATATAATTGTTAGTTGTTGATCAAATATTATTATTTTTGACTAATCACACTTTCTAAATTACCAATGTTTGTGAGAAGAAAACAATTTTAAACAAATGATAAACAAAGAAATTAAATAAAAATAAAACATTGAACCGGATAAAAATTATCAGTAGTATAAAGAACTTCAAGATATGTATGTAACAATATGAATAAGATAATGTCATCGGAAATCGTATCGTTTTCTTTTCGATTTAGCGATGCTTCAGCCCAAAATTTGTTTTTTTTTTCATGCTCCACTTTTTAGCTTTGTTAGAAAGTCTAACTGAGGTTTTTTTGTTTTTTTCTATAATTCTGGTAGACATATTCTTGTCTAGCGGTTTTTTTGGTTTTTTGAGGCTTTGTTAGTTTTCATATTTGAACGGCATCCGCGCTCTTGAGAGATCCCTCAAATTCCTATCGACGCTGGCATCAACATCGCATCATCGCATGGCGGGGATGAAAAATGCAAACTCCTTATTGGTTCACGTGATATGGCGAGAAAACCGAAAAAGACGCGCTGAGACGGTTTGGCGTACGTGACGAACAGCATAGCCGAATCGCGATCAGTTCTTACGAACCTCTGATTACAGAAACTCTGTCGGGTTTTAGCTTTCGCTCCCGGCTTCTGGCGAGTGTTTCATCGCCTGTTTTGTGGATATTTCGAAGTTTGCACCCGTTGCCACTTCGGGTCCTCCAGTGAGCTACCGTCGTGCCCTAGTGTTCATCGCAGCTGTGATTTTCGTCCAGTGATCGTCGTATCCTGGTGAAACGGGAAGCCATCCCACGTTTGAAAAAAAAAATAACGCTGGTCGAGATCGTTCGAGTCTCGGCTACGATACCACAGCCTAAGGTTTACGATATTCCATCTCTAGTGCTACCCTGAAGCATCTTATTATCCGTTTGTGGCGAACTTTTATTTCTTTAATACCGGGAAAGAACGAACCAACCGGTGTTGTGTTGTGTATTGTGTGTGGCCGCGTATCTGGACTCTGGAGCTCGGAGCTCACGTCGTTCGTGTGAAGATCCAAGCGTTGTGGTCCCCTCCACCGAGATTTGAAGAGTCGGCGCGGATTATTCTGAGGACAGCACTCGGTTGCCACACAGTGCTATTTTTACAGAAGTCTCGGCAGCGTTGCAGAAGTCCGAGATCGTGTATAACGTGCGCGGGACTGCTAAGAAGACATACAGGGTGAGTCGTTGAGTACAGGACTGTTTTATGCGGGGTCTCCCAGAACTTCAAGATCGAATGGCTTAGTTGCTTCCTTTTGTTTGGTATTGCGGGAATTCTATTGTAGATTTTTTTCCCTTCAGGGCGTTGTCTTCTACGTTATTGAAGGTACCCGGACTTGACCGTGTTTGTTGAAGATTCCATTTCAAGTCCTTGATCCAAAGCTCGCCCTTGTATAAAATTATATAATTTTGTGCTTTGCTTGTTTCCGTTCAGTAATTAATTTAGTTGATTTTTCTTCCCTTTTTCAATAAATCGTATTCAGTTTGTGTTACTTCGACGTCGTAGATGAGATAATTTTTATATCGGCGCTGCGACATCAGTACGAGGTGCGGCGCCGTATTCACTATACGAGTAGTGCTCAATATATTTTGACACCACCTGCTGCTTTGTGCCTTAGTCATTATCCCTCGGTGAATTATCTTTGTCATTAGTGTCATTAGAGACGAATAGGATATTGAAGATGTTTTGAATCTCGAACCCAGCACTCGTTCGCACACCTCCCCTGAGTTGAGCTAGTATTACGGGAATAGGTGGAGTGCAAAAAGGAGATGGACAGTACCCCTTTGAATATGTCATTGCGCGAGATCATGTCCAAAAGTCAATGTGCACCGGCCACGTTAGGTGAGGTACGGTTAACCTCACCAAAGACGCTCCTTTGAGACACGGTACAAAACCCTGTCGAACGCGAACAATAAGTATTATGGAAATGCCAATAATTCTGAATTTCTGATTGGTAGAGTTACTTTACGTATATACACGTATATTCGAGATTATACAAGGTAACTTACTAAATTGAACATTGTTCTGATTGGTTCAAAATCATACGAAGAAAATAATCAACAAAATAAAATATGAATAACATTGAACCTAATGAAAATCCTCCGTGAATAAATGGTATACTCTGAAAGGTTTTGTTTTGGTGAAATTAGAAATAGGTAAAGTTCCACAGTTTCAATTTTAATGTCACATCACTTTCCTACACTTACAGAATTTCACTACATATGTCACCTCACTTTCCTAAACTTCACACTTTGGCTATGATAATCACAATATAATTCACGAAACACCACTTATTAGTTTTCGTAACTGCTGTACACAAATACTGGATGATATATCACTAGTCACTATCGGCCTCTTCATGACATGAATCTTCATTTACCTTAATGATCAATGGATACTGTCTCGATGGTGGTTGAAACTGACTCGCTAAATTGCGGTGATTGGTTATGTTCACGTACTTTGCTTTTAATAGCAGCCCAGACCATCTCAATGGGGTTGAAAACTCAGTAATATGGGGGCAAACGTAAGACAGTATGGCCGTATGCTCCAAAGAGTTCATCAACTAAATATATTCCTCCGGGAAATTTTGTTTCCTGATCTTTTCCAGTAATTCGTTCTTCAGTTTTTTAGGAGATATTTCCATGCCTTTTTTTCTCCATAAATTGAATAATGTCAGCCTTTTTCGTGTTGGTGCTCGGTATTTTTGTTTGTTGACGTGAATGGTATGACGCATTATCCATATCGATGACTGGATTCTCTGGAATATTTGGTATAAGCTGCTGCTCTGCCCATTTCTCAAATAATTCTGCCGTAATATCCTCGTGATAATCGGCAGAGGATTGCTTGATATTTTCTACAGACAACAACAATGCATTGTCAACAAATCCATTTTCATTGCCGGCGTGAAGGATTATAATTCTTCTGCCTCTCGAACTCGGACCACTCACATTACAGTTTTTGCTATCATCTACCCAACCGTATTGAACAACGTCATGAGTTTCGAACCACGTTTCATCTAGATTATAGGTCTATTCGCTTCACGGTATCCCTTTATTTTACGTAGATATTCTTGCCGATGGTCTACGATGGGTCTTGATTCCATAATCACCATCCTTTTGTCTAATTTCTTATGACTGAACCCGCAATCTAGTAAAACATTTCGCAATGTACTTAACGATTTGTAATTATAATCCGCGTATTCATTCAACTTATCACTGATATCTGACAATGTTGGCACCTTATTCTCAATCTATATACAGTTCGACGAATTACTTCTTTCCAAGCATCACCAAGCTTGTTTAGTTTTTGTCCCACTCTTTTTCGTTTAACTTCATGATCTATATACAACACCTCCGGTTCTAATAACTCTGTATATGGTGAGTATAAATTATTTCAGTCAATTCCTGTATTCTCTTCACAAGTTGGTTTTCTGAAGAATCATTATTCTCTTCCTTGAGACGCGAATAGACATTCAAAATTACCCTTTGCGTTTGAACGTGTAAGTCTATATTGGCGAACTCCGCTTCCTCTTCCTCCGAATCACTATCACTCACTTCGTTGACTTCATGAAAAGGTCTCCAGAACACAAAACCACTACGATTGAAATAATAATTTTCTGAATTTCGAGTTGAACCAATGAAGGCAACCTAGCTCGTACCGCACTGCCCAGCGCAGGCTAGAAGATTCTTATCACACAGAAGACCGCCCATGCAACTCTGACCAATCAACATTCAGGAGTAACCAATGAGACGCGGTTTCTAGCATGACAGCGCTCGTCCAGTCCACGTTGACTGCACAGGCTGCATACCGGGAGCCCTCAGTAGAAAATATATCATTCATTCCTATTCCAATGTCAAGCAAATCGACAAATCCTCGTATCATCTTTAAAAACGGAAGTTCTTCAACTGACTTCGCATAAACTATACCAGCGACTTCGACTTCCGGGTGCCAGGGATTCCCAGTCAAAAATCGAATTTTGCCAACAGTGTTGCCAAAGTATAGTATATATTTATTACCGCCAGGTGCGACATTTGGAAAATAATATGTTTTGCCTACTACCATTGTAAAGGACCAATCAGAACGATCGAAGGATATGACGCAAGTACACTATTTTGTTCAAGTTTCCAAGTATTAATCAATTTCTGACTCTTCTCATTTTTTAATCAGGTTTTCAAAGTACTTGAGTAATTTTGTAAAAAGAAGACTCTCTAGTAGGTAAAAACTGGTTAAGCCAAGGATGTGATGATCAATCTAGGCTATCAATGATGTTCTTTTTATCAAATTTTCATTTCCAAAGAAGGAAATACATTTTTGGTGAAACAACTTTTTTTTTGGAATCCTTGCTCTATGGTGAAAAAACTGGAATGATAACAGAATCATTGGCCAGGGCGTCATTCAGTAGTTTCTTTTTTGGTCAGAACTTTTCACATTTGAATCGAAAATATAGATCCTATATTCTCCATGAAAAAAACAATTGAATATCACTTCCGGTTTTTCCGGAAATAGACCTAGATCGTGAATTTAAATGAAAACTTAAATGTATATATTTTTACGCCATTCGATACAGCAAAAATATCCCTTTCCAATGGCATATCACAAGTTGATATTTGTTTCTAAAATGGCGCTTCAGAAGACATTTTCTCAAAAATCAATATTGCGACACTGTGACATCATCGATCGAATTTTCGCCAAGAAATAAACGAAGCACTTATTTAATTAGTTTTTGATTAAACATGAGAAAATTTTGGTTCATCATCAATCAGGATTCCTTTCATTAATTCTTTCAAATGACATTATTTCTCTTGAATTTTCTCGAAACATTCAAATTTTATATAGGAAATGGTACTTTTATTGATTTCAATTTAAAGTCAGTATCAGTATCTACAGATAAATGCTCGACACACGACGCCTCCTATTTTTATATTGAATGAATGAATGAAGATTGTCTCATGCAATAA